TAACGTCGGTGTTACGTTTGACGTTAGACGAAATAAGTATACGAATGATGGGGAAATTCGCTAACTTGCTTCAGCCGTTAAAGCAACGACTACTTGGCGTTTAGAACGTTGGGTTAGAAATTAGTCGATGATAATGACGTAGGTACCCAAGAAGTTGTACCTCGTTAAACGCGAAAGGGACTTCGCGAATGTCCTCGTGTTCTTCCACGGATTAATTCAACGAAATTAACGACTAACGGGCGGCGTTAATGGCGCGTGTACTATCCGGTGACGTGTTTTATCCTCGACGATTATGCGACGTCCCGGCCATCGGCGAACCGTTTAACGGGCGCCATTCCGCTGTTATTAAATGTGACATTAATCATCGGAAGTGCCTTTATTGCGCCCGACGAGGCGTGGGAGTCGACGGAAGCATGATTATTGGTAGCCAAGAATTTATCGAGCATTTTTCCATCCCGAGGGAAGCTTTTCCATTTTCCCCCCTTCTCCTTATCAGCATGCAGAGCGTATTTGGCGCGAAACTCAAGCTTCTTCGCTTATCTTAAAATGCATAAAAAATTATACCGCCTTCATTCAACGTGATCTCCCAAGAGAAAGAGTCCAAGAAAAACATGACCCATTTAATTACATCGCCGGCAATCAGCATGCAAAACATACTTGCTGCGAAACTCACATCCCTTCGTATACACCGAAGCGTATATAAAATGACACGTACTTAAAACGAACAATTTTTCTTCAAGAAAAAAAAATAAAAAATAAATATATGAAACCTGCCCGATTAATTACATTGCATGTAATCGGCATGCAAAATGCGCTTGGTATGAGTCTCTTCGCGTATATTAAAATTAATTACGAATTGTGCGGATTGTGTTTCGCAGTTTCTCCAGGGAATAAGAACCAACCGCGGAAGAAACATCGGCCAATTAATTGTTTCGCACGTAATCCACTTGTCGTATAAGTCGGTTTACTCGTCGCAACTTCATTTATCACGTCTTATCACGTTCCACGGCTTGTTTAAACATCAGGCGACCTGGGCCGTTACCTCGGTGCTTAAGGGAAAAATGGCTCGTTACCCTCCTTAAGACGAGATTCGTCCTTAAGGACACTTCCTCCACCCCCGGGCCCGCTAAGTGTCCGTATGCGCGTCCGAGCTTTGTGCCCCGAAGTCACGTACCGTTTGACTCTCTCCCTCTTTACGGCTCTCCTGGCTGGTCTTTTCTCCTCGAAACCAGGGCAAGTTTTTCCCCAACGTTGGCCCTGCGAACGCCGAGGCACCTTTGCGTGGGCGAAACTTCCCCGAAACTTTTCCCCCCCAAACTTCGCTGAGCTCCCGAAGGAAGAACCGCTTCCTTACGTATTCCGCCTTGGTTTAAGGTGCTCGAAATGCTTTAGCAAAAATGGTCGGGATAATTAGGCCGATCCGGTTTGTTCTTTCACCCCCCACGGAATTTCTGTCAAACTTTTCTTCCGCCACGGAAAATAATGTCCACTGTGACGCGTCCAGAAAAACGAAAAATCAGATTTTAGGACCTATACATTTATGGACGCTTTTACGAGAAAATCTGCGTTTCCCTTAAAAGGTCTTAATTCATCGTGAATTTTCTCTCTCCGGGGAAAATGCCCTTTGAGATTTTACAGCCAAAGGTGAGCTAGGATTTTTACAGGATTTATCAAAAGAAAAAAAACGTGATTTTAGGATATACATTTATCATCGCTATTACGAGAAAACCTGCCGTTTCCCTTAAAAGAATATCTTAAAAGATCTCGACATTCGGGTATTGGATTTTATTATCTCATGGCGGTATGGAGAGATAATCAGAGCGATCGCTATTCTTCTAATTGGTCTAAATTCATAACGATTCTTTTTTTTGCTACGGATCATGACTTAAAAATGAGCCGCTACGTTAAATTAGCGCGCTAAAATTCGAGAAAAAGGAAATGAGAACCGATTTATATTTACATTTTTAGAAGGAAGGAAAGACGCGAATTCTTACGGATGCATATGTGGCGGATAATAAAGAGGCAGGCCTCGAAGGGCGGCATCGCGAAATGGACGGTAAAAACCGTCAGCCAGTGAAAAGCGCGAACTCGCGGATTCGGATTGTCGTGAAGTGCTTTTCGAGAAATCCTATTACGGGGGACAAGAGGCGAGGAAAACTTTTGCTCTCGTGCGTGAGAGGACTCCTCTCGGTGGAACTTCGGGGCCAACTTCCCCGTCGAAATCTCCCGCGAATTCACCCCCAAGTTTCGCGAGTCAATCCCGCGACGGATTTTCTCGGGAAAGGAAGCCGAGGAACTTCGCTTTCGCGGCCCGGAGTCACTAAACCGGCGCCATCTTTCACTGCCAGCATTCTTTCGGTTCTTCCTTTCTTTTTTTTCTTTTCTTTTTTTTTCATTCCCACGGAACTTCCTCAAAAGGGCCGAAAAATAAAACGACGATCAGGTGGCACATCTCGTAGAGGACTCCAGGATAGGATCGCACCATCCGTTTTTATTTCCCATTTATTTTCTACGCATTGTGCATGTATCTTTGTTTCTTATTTCTCTTCGGTTTTTTTTTTATGTGTAATTCATTTATCCGCCCGCCATTATATCAACATTGGGGTTAAAAATGTTTACCAGCGATTGTTGCAAATTTGATATGCTCCGTTGTGCGCGCTTTATGCGTCCTGAAGGGTGGACGCGTCTCCCCAAGGAAACATATGTCCTGAAGTGCGCCATAAACTTGCGCGCCTTGATTCTTTTTTATGGAAATGTACTTTCTACAAAGCGTTTGTCGAATGGTACCGTTAACCCTACTTTTTTATTACCCGCGTGAAGAAATAATGACAAATGAGTCCGGTGCAAAATTCTCCATTTTCTATACAATAGGAAAAGTGGAAGAATGCATTTATAATCGGGAAGGATCAGAAAAAATGTCACAGAGAAGAAAACAAATACACGCATTTTAGTCAAGCATCTGCCCTCATGGGGTTTCCCCCTCGAAGGTAATACATCAAATTTATACATATTAAAATATAATCTTTGTAAAAATAAAAATTGCACCCACAGCCATGTCAATTAGTGAGTCTATAGTCGACCTTAAAATGACAAATACATATAAAACAATGTAATTTAAAACCTACATAAATAGTACGGCATATAAATAAATAAATTTAACGTCAATATATTAAAAATTAAAAGAAGAAATAGAAAAGATCAATTCAAATATTAAAATATAAAAATCGACACACCGTAATACTACACTAGCTTTAACACCGAATTTAAATATCCGAGCTTTACAGTTTTTGTTTGCAGTTACTCTTTGAACCATACACGTATCACCTTTCGTTTTATCAGTTATTTTTTCCATTGTTTATTCGCACTCCCTTTTTAGAACGTACTTATGAAGCTTCACGATTTATCGTTTCCTTCATAACATATATCCTTTAATACATTGCAAAAATTTCCAGAATTTTCCGAAAACGTGATTGTCAACGTAATTTATCCAAAACATGTCGGGAATAAAATCAGAAATTGCAGGGGAAATAGGGAGGGAGGCGAATTTACCGCGTTACCGATATTTCCCGAGGGATTCGACACGATTCCCCGAAACAATGGCGGCGGCTGGGAAATTATTCCATTTGTTGTTGAAAATTGCCGAGCGGATGCCGGGAGCAGCGGCTGGCAAACAAAGAGGAAAACGCGCGGCGAAGACGTGCCGGAAATATCGAGGAAAAATAATCGGCGGTCGGTCCCGCGGCCGGAATTCGAAATCCTTCCCGAAGGAAACGGGAGGACTTCGTTTCTCATGAACGCGGCTTACCACGAGTAAAAGCCTCCCCATCCCACCTCTGGGGACTTCAATTACGGAGTTCCAGATCTTCCCGCGGGAACCCGGAGGGGTGGCGGAAACGACCCTTCGCGATCCCATCCGATTGTCACAGGAATTCGCGAGGAATTCGGGCGAGTGTTCCACTTTCTCTCCTATGATTTGCACGTCAGTCAATATTTATTGACGCGCGATTATACCATATCAGCGATCAAGAGCTGCCGAGGCATTAATCTTTTATTTATAATTTTCATAATAAACTCCACAGTGCCAAGATAAATCGCAGAAAATTAATTAGATCGAAAATCCGAGGTCCAAGAGATCTCGCGCAACGGAGAGAAAATATCATCTGTCCCCTGTTTCTAAATGAAAAATACCCTCACAGGACGAAAACGTCATTAACTACCGACACAATACTTTGGAACTCAAAAGTTAATTAAAAGAAAAAAAAAGAATTAGATACTGCGGGAAAATTATGAGAAATCAAGAAAGAAATGGACTTCAGGAGAATCGACAAATCTGAATATAATGACATCGAGTGCGTCGTTTTCATCGATTCGCACATCGTCACCTGAATTTTCGCCAAGAGCATACCTCCTCATGTAATACCTTGACCTCGGAGTTCACGACCACCGATGTGACTTCACGTCTTTTCAAGTCCTATTCCTGATTGCCGCTGACGTGAATCACGTCCTGCTTAGTTGGCTCACTAATTGTTAGCCGGTGCGGCGCACAAATTTTATCATTTTTATCCTAGCTTTAACGATACAAGTTTGCGGCAACCAGTTTCAGAATTTCATTATTTTCGCCGGTACTCGGTATTTGAAACGGAACAAATTTGCCGATCGCGAATGTGTTAATACCAAGAAATGAAAATTCGACCAGCTAATATTATGCCTCCGCGTTTTTTCTCTTCGTCAAGTCTATTCGCGTATCCTCGAAATTCCGAAATCTCGGAACGCTCGATTCGCCCCCCTCTTGGAATATATCACTGAGTAAAAAATTCAGCGCGGGTAATTGCGGGCCGATTGGTGATCACGAGTCAGGAAAGTATCATAGATCGGAGCCGGAGTTCCGATTTCCCTCGAGCGGCAGATTAATGCTCCCCGAGTCGTGGAACGACGAAGATATTCCCTCCCGTCCCCGTATCACGGAGGAGGTCGCATTTTCTGGCCATTGTTCCACTTACCTGTAAGTAATGAAGGCGAAGACGAGGGCCACGAGGGAGAGGCTCCCCCCGAGGACGACGATGAGACTCAGGACCCCGTCCTGATCCAGACTCCCGGCGATTCCCGTGGCAATTCCCCCGGCGATTCCGCCGGTCTTAGGGAACCCATGGATCGCCCCCGTGTAAAGAGTCTCCATCTCGGAGTGAATAGACCCGAAGAGCCCTCTCTTTCTCTGTCTCACAGCAGCAGCATCTGAAAGCACCGACCGAGTTGTTAACCCATTTGCATCATTATATATATACGCATGTATACGCTCAGTTTTCCTGGTCACTATCACCGGAGCGTATATATGCGCTCAATTTTGCCGGTCACTATCATTCAGCCCGAAATTTCGGTGATAAGGACCCTTTTTCATACTTCTTTATAATGCAAATGGGCTAAGGCGAAGTGAAACCCCCCTCAAATCAGTCAATTCCAATAAGACACCTTTTTTATAGGTATTGGATCGAATCGTCCGAAACTTTGACACGTGACTCGTGAGCACCTACACTGTTAAAAAAAAAATGGTCTCAATTTTATAACATTTTTTTATGCAAGTTTCATTCGGACATGGTATACTAATTTTATATTCAAATAATAAAGACAAGATAATGTTCCACCACGTTTCGAAAAAATTCGACAAATTCTGCATCATTTTGGACCACGGATTATCAAAAAGAAAAAGAAAGTAAGGAAAGAGAAAATAATATTGTCCTATTTATCCAGGAAAGTCAGAAAGTTCTGTACCACTTTGAAACACGGATAGTGAAAAAAAAAATGAAAAATAGAAAATAAAATAAGGAAAAAAAATAATATTCCAGGCATAGTCGATAAATTTATCATTGTTTTAGACCATGGATTGTAAGGAACTACATCGTGGGGAATTCATACCACTCTCCCGGAGCGAAGAAGAGCGATGCAATTGGCATGAATAGCCGGTGCAATTCTGCCCCAACAATTCCGAAGGGAGTTCGAGGATCATAACTCGGAGGTAACGCAACGACGGAACAGGGGTGTTACCTTTACCGTAACGCATCCAATTTGGCAAGGTTTTTCCAATTTGGCTCGAAGCTTTCGTTTTCAAAATGCCGAGACGAATATCTGCCATTTAAATTGATGGCGTCGCGAATGGTAACGCGATCTGAAATTCCGAGAGGAATCCCTCGACCCCCTCCTGTGGTCCTCCCTGTCCCAAGAATTCACACAAGAGTTATCGATGAGTCCGGCGAAAGAAAAAAAAGCAAAATACTTTCGAAGCCACCATTTCCCTCGTTCAGTTCGAATTTATAAGCCCAGCTGGACAGACATAAGGTTATGACGTAAGTTTATGCGTTTCTTTTTATTTTTTAATTTAATCAAACGAAAAAACAGCACGAACTTCGTAATGGATCACTAAGGGTTTTTTTTTCATTTTCATTTTCTTTTTTTTTTTTTTTTTAATTGAAAAGCGATACTCGAGGGGCTATTTTTTCGGAAATCGGTGAAAACGTTCGTTGGTATCATCGCTAAGAAAAATTGAAATATATAAAAATGTGAGTTGTACATATCGGATAATCACATTCATGTATAGCATAGCACAGTACAAACAGATTATGAATATATCGCGGTGATTATAAGTATTCTTAAACTAAAATTAAATCGCCATCTCATTACGTTATCCTAAACGATATACGTGTAATTAGACTCCAATATCAGCGAGTTTCATTAAGCTTTGCAATTTTTCGCGATCGGTATTTAGCAGATTTATTTGGAAATTTTCAGTTTGCGGGATTTTTTATAGTTTCTAGCGTTTCAGATTGTCTGCGACAACGATTTAATTATAATCTGATTTCACAGATGAGCGTTCAGGGTTTTCATTTTCATGGCAGCGGGTGCAAATTAATTATGCAGAATTCGAAGAACAGTACATATTGGAAGTTCACGGGGGATGCGTTGGTTTTAATTAGACATGTGATAGTGCACGAGAACATTTTGTACATATTAATCATCCGAGGTTTGCACGACGGGGAAACAATATGTAACTGAATAATCTTTCAGCTGCGTCGCAATCAAAATGAATAACACCGCGTCAGTATTATTATTAAAAAAAAGACCATTTTGGAAAATTTACTCCCTCACAACTTGGCGAAACGAATTATCCAATTTCGCTGTTAATTAATCACGTTTGCAAGCTCGGGGCATTCGTGTATATTCCGTTTTTCAAATTAAATGCGGCGAAGATTAAGGACGTTTGCAAAAATTACCATTATATATTTTCTCTCGCATTAAACTGTCCGAAATAATGATATGCGAGTTTATTAATTTTACCAACAAGGTTTAATCAATACTTGAGCTTAATCAAATTAGCTTAAGGTCGATCTATTATCAACTTCAAAATAGTTTGATAAATGGTCGCGACTGAAAGCCTCGAACTGATCGTTAATCAATCCAGACGCGTTTATTATTATTATTACAACGTTGTTAGTACTACAATTTAGTATCAACTAGCTGTTAACTCTATAAAGCAGCCAATTTTGCTCAAATTCATTCTCATCCTTCTCCGTGTAATCTAGTACAGAACTCGAGGCAAGATTTCCCATCACCAGAGTATTATACTTAATTCTTAAAAAATTAATTGTTCTTCCTAGATCATTCCCACTCTGTCTATAACTTTTACAGGTTGCTATTTCCAACGGAGAAGTATTGTTTACCAAGTTATGATTACACCAATCAGGAAAAATATTAAATCACAACGTAGAACAATATATCATGAACCAGATATATCAACTTATTTTTGTTTCTGTTCGAATAAATTTAAAAATAAAATCTGTTAATTATTTATAGGGACGCAATCGCGAAAAGTGAAACGCGCGAGCGGTTGGGCGGAAAATCCGGGGGAAACGTGCATAATCGAGTGTAATCAAAGAGCATAATGTACCGAAGGACTGCAAACGAATCGAGGGGAAGTCCTCGGTCGTGAATGAAAGTAATCTACGGCGTTAATTCGTCCTAGCAATGTAATTGGTCGCACACCAAGGAGAAAATGGCAAGGAGCATACTTGACGAAGCCACGAGCACACGCTAATTGCTTCTGCGTTTAATCGGAAATTACGAGTTCTCAGGGACATCATCAACTCATCGCGTCCATGTTTGAGACGTAACGTTAATATTAATCGACCTCAGCCAGCTGAGGGAAATATTAATTTTTCTTGACATACGTTGCCATCTTTTACCCCGCTTTAAAGCCTTCGTTGCAACTGACTCTCCTTTGTACGGACAAATTGAATAGAAATCGCATTATCGGGGGAATCAATTGCCATGTCGCTTCTGATGATACGGAAAAGCATGACGGGGAAATTGCTTTCGTTCGATTTCTTTTTCTTCGATTAAGATGCACATTAAGATCTAATTGATTACAATCCAGTAATTGAAAGCACGTGTACCACAAATTCTATGTTTTTTGAAAATTATCTTCGAGTTGACATTTACATACCACCGTGGTTTAATATACTGTAATGGCGAAGGAATGAGCATTCATTCGTCGTTATCAGATATTGTCGTGTAAATTTCAAGTATAATTCGCTATAAAAAAAAAAAGATTTGGGTCCTCGTATATCTTGGCTTTAAAACAATTTTCACGCCCAATGATGCGAACCGCTATCACGATCTTTGCGGTTCGGTCGATTCCGATCCAAAGAGGATTGGATAAAGCGGAGGTAAGTGGTTTGCGATTCGAACTTGCTCTTGAGGCGAATTCAAAGCTTTGTGCACATGTATGGGTGCATATCGATGAGCCTAGGAAATAAAGACGTACCTTTTCTTCCACTTTTGGGAGGAGAGAGATTAGAGGTAACTTTTGAGTCTCCGAGCGAAGCATTCCTCAGGAAAAAAAAAACCTAAACCATGAAACTTTAAAAACATCTCTTACATTCGATAAGGTAATTAAACAAGAACAACGAGAACCACAGAAGTATCGATCATAGCAAAGTCGATGTATAATTTTTATTAAAATTTTGACGCGTAATTAATATTTTAGATGAAACCTCGTCTCGCGAACGGAGGGGAAAAAATTGAGGAAGCTAAACTTTGTTTTCCTTTTTTTTTTCTTTTTCGGGAAGAAAGTTCGAAACGCGAAAATTGGACTTAAAATTAGTCGACGTTTTCAATGTTGACGTTAATCATATTTGATGAGGTGTCAGAACTCGTGTAACGTGTGTAAAGGATCGAGAGGTAGTTTCTCGAGATCCCATGGGGAAAAAATGTGCAGTCTTATAAAAATGAGTAATGATCCCTGCGCCCAAGTGGAAAATTTGCATATAGTGGTATCGATCGCTATACTCGGTGCATCGCTTATGCTCGACATGAAGGTGCTACGTTTATTACGTCGTTTTTCGTGAAAATAGCTTATCTTTTTCTTTTTTAAAGCCAATCTTGCAAATTTTCTATTTCTTTTTATTTAATTCATAGCCCCCTCTCTTAGCGGTCAACACTTTTACGTAAAGGTATTTACATTTTATTAAACGCCATGTACATTATGGCTTCAAAACATACAGATGAATTGAAAGTTGATGGAAATTTCTCTTTGAAGAAATATCTTTTGAAACGCGTATTACCGGGAATTGAACCCCCCAAGAGAATGATATATAAAAACTACAAAATAAATCTTCCCGAGCTCTATAAAACCCGCGTAGACCCTGAGAAGAAGAAATGCATCGAGCCAAAGAACTATTACTTCGAATTGTACCAAAGAAGTATTTCGTTGATTCAAAGAATAATAATTTTTCCCCACAATTCCGAAGTAATGTTGCACCCAATTTATTCGGCGTTTATTAGAGTCAAATAATTATTCTGTGAATTTACAAAATATTCCTTTGATTCGGTGAATACTATTTTCCTCGGTGTAGGAACCTCCGATACCTATTCCTTTCGGGAAATATATACAATGACGATTTGTTCCGAAGGCGAAAGAGTTTTCGAGGTCCCGCCAGGATTGCAAATGACCGACTTTCGTGCCAGAAAACTTACAAAAGGTTTCAACATCATTCGGGAGAAATAGTCCGGCCCTTGAGCTTCGATTTTCCTCTTTAACCCATTTCGGACCGAAAGGGGTCGGAGATTGCGAAGCTTTCAGTTTTCGCTGTCCGTTTCCGACGAAAAGCCGGACAGCATTATCGAAGCCGCCATTAAGGCTCGACTAAGCTTTACACGCGTTTTACGTCGCACAACCTGGGGGGACGAACGGCCATGGATTTTTCATCCTGACCCGTGACTTAGAGCTTTCGGCACTCCTACAACGATAGGACAAGCGCCCTGTTTGTTCCTCGGAACCCTGAATCCGATTTCAGGTTAGCACTTTTCCCTCGTTCCCATTGAATCCCCATACATTTCGCACCTTTTACCTTTTATCGATCGCCATGGATTAATTGAATCACATTGGACCTCGCAATATAACTCGAAACAGAAATAAAATGGCCAAACCAAAACTGAAAAACATCCCAGCGCATCTTCGCAAGAAAATTCGGTAATCTTCAATCGATCCTCAACTTCATTATTAAATGATATAAACCATTTTCCTGCACGTTGAAATCTGCATTTACCGATTAAATTGTGAAATCACCGTCAAAAAAGTATCCTAGTGCCCCCAAAGAAGTGGATGAAAGAACTAATCAAAATCTGGAGGAAAAGTATCCTTCACAAAAACTGCAGTGCATCGAAATATCTATCCATGCAAAATTACAATGGACTAAATTAATCTGCTGGAAGAAGTGCAAAATATAGAGATCGTAAACCCGGAATGTGTGGTAAGTCGGCAGGGTTATGTATTTGAAATAAGTGAACGATTTAAAAAAATCGTCTTTCGCATTATATTAAACAATTCCCTCGGCCACGTGACTAACATTTAAGGGGAAGTATTCGGTGCAATGAAATGCACCCTATGACGCCGAAATTGAAGAGTCGCTCTTTCGACTTCTCGCATCTACCGATTGAGTTTGCGTTTGACGCAATTAAGAAATTGCCGTGAAACTCGCGAAACTGCTCTCTCTCTCTCCCTCTCTCTTCCTCGCCCCCTTGATAAGGAGGAGTTCCTCGCGAAGCACTCAACCTGTTAGAGTCCAAGTAAATTGGAGGCAATAGTATCGATGCTCTTGGGGTACTTTGAACCAGTAGCGATCTTGCAAGCTCGACGATGATGCAAGAGCAACTGCATCGCTTGTGCTCTAATTATTTCTTCCGCGTTGCGTAACCGCAAGGTAATTGTTCCTTTCTTCCCGAGTGAAATTGACCTTCCGTTAGATTTTTCTTATATATATTTTTTTCTAATTTCAAAGGGACCTCCCTTTCAAGTTGGCAATTTTCACATCAATTAATTATACCCCTTCGTGTAATGAAACCAGGAGGGCATTGTCGTCATCGCGATGACCAATAATGGTTTATAATAAAAATGAGAAGTACACGTTGTAACATCTACTCTAATGTCATAAGAAATAATTTGAGATAGTGGTACATCAAATGTGCATTATGACGTTAACGGTGAAAATCATTTGAAAAGGTGATGCTTATACCAAAGGACGGTGTATTGTTTACAGGGAAAAATCCTAATGGAAGTCATAGGGAATAATTTGAAAAAGTGACATTAAGCACCGAGGGAATTTATGATCGAGCACTGGGAGACGATATGGATGTTAGGTTTTTTAAAGTACAATGAGATTAAAAGAATAGAATCATTGCAGGTAAAGTTACCATGTGGTCAGATGCGAGGAAGCCAAAATCCGGAAGTGCGCACCTGCAAGCTCTCACGTTCCCCACTGCTTCCCCCATCAGTCCATATTCGCCGATAAGCCCGGCACCGCTAATCTCAGAACTTCGTGGCGAAGTTTGGGGCGCAGCTACCAACTTTTCACGGTTCTTCACTCCCGTTCTCAGTTCTCATTTACTGATTCGCAATTCCGAGTCCGTCGAGGAAACACTCGTGCGACAGTACTGCTCTTAAAGGTCGTCGCGAATGTTGCGGCATCGCTTTCATTCTAAGCGACGTGCGGGATAAAAGTTTTGCAAACTTCGCTACGTCATCCCGTCAATCGATTTATTTTCGATCTCTTAAAGGAGTAAGTTGAGAAGTGAGAAGTGTCGTTTTATTGGGATGGCGGTTGGTTTCTGTCGGTCAACGCCGGAAGCTGTTTTTGAGCATCGTGAGGAGCGCCGCTCGTTGCTCCTTCGGGAGCAAAGAAACAAGGTGTTCACGCTACGGCGTGCGGAGCGCGACTGAGCGGCGTGCGCGCCGCGCGAAGTCGTCGCGCGCATCTACCCCTCGCCGCCTCGACCAATCGGCGCGCCGCGCGCCTCTGGAGGGGGAAAGAAGAAACTCCGAAAATTAGAATTAATAAACGTGGTGCGAAACGTGCCTTAGGATTTATGAAAGTCATCAACACGGACGGATTCAATATTTTTTTCCTAGTTTACCCTCTGGAGGGTAACTAATCTGCATCTATTTAGAATCCTCTAACTTGGATGTCAGAAATATTTATGAAATCTCCGAAATTGGATAGCAAATTAACTATAATTATCTGCTATCTAAATAAATAGATTACGGTCGTTTCCAAAATTTTGCCGCCCTCATAAGTGAACTTCAAAATAACATACAGAGAAATATAATAAGCAGAGTGATGACGGTAACGTAATTACCATTATTGTCTGCATCATTATAGACCTACTTTGTCAATTTTTATAACTTTTCGTATCAGTATTTTCTATATTATTAATTAATATTCTTTTAATATTAATTTTATTCCGGTGGAAATACAATGTGAAATCGTAACGTTATTAACTTATGTTATATTAAGTAATTATCAGGTTTAATGGAGTTCTTTTGCAGGAAGTAAATGTTAAGAAATTCATTTTACCTGGGGTTCTCCATTTCGGTGAATTTAACGTCATTACGCGTCACTCTGTACGAGTAAGCCTGTTATAGGTTGCAAATTTAAGAGGACGGTAAAATAATTGGGACACCGTACTACTTATTGGAATTGAATTATAAGACAAGAGGTACGTGTAGAAGGCTAAGATTTACCTTCGACGTGGAGTCACGGAGAGAGAAATAATGCCCGGTTGTTAAAAGGACTTCTTTTTCCTTTTATTCGGCACTGGGACGTTTTTCCATGTCACAGGACGCATTCATTCAAGGCCTTGAACAAATGGCTGCAGACGAGAGGACGTCCCATTGAAAGTGCATTTGATGCAATCGAAAGAGGCTTCGTAACTGGAGGCGTTAAAATTCCTTCTTATTCCTTGAACGATTTCCTCTCTTCGTGAGAGAAAATTTTTCTCACATAAAAATCATCGATCGATCTTAAATCAACCCAATTTCGCCAAATGTCGTTTCAAAAATACTGCATTATGCATTAAAAAGAAAATGAGGTGAGGATTTTAAAATTATTTGAAGAAAAAAAAAATGACATTTACCTTCTTCAAATCAATTTTGTTCAACTTCACTTCACTTCAAATAAGTTTGGACTTTTATTGGTGAGATCCAACAAGAGCACTTGCAAATGCATACACGTATCATCGGAGTCTCGCAGGAAAATGATATCACAAATCTTGAAATTCGACAAATCTTAAGTAGATTGATAAATTAGGCAGATGCGGAACTCCCCAAGAATTGTAAACCTGTTTGAAGAAAATACGTTTAATCCTTTAAACGAACAACTGTATCGACTTTTATAGGCGCAATGCAACGAGTGCACTTGCGAATGCATACACGTAATTCCAAACGCACGCAGGAAAATGGAATAAAAGCATTCCGTGAAATGAGACAAAGAGCCCGTAGACAAAGAGATGAAAATCGATGTCAAGCTTTGTGTCTGAAGGGAACGAGAGTACGTATTGCAATTATCCGATCAGTCCCAGTACTCGGTCAAAGAGAGGGAGGGAGGGAGAAGGACGAACAGAGAAGTTGGAAGAGTTCCAACTCATTGCGAAAGGTAATCCGATCCATCAGGAGCTTTCCGCAAGCTCGTGCGATAATTAACGTACAATACTATTTCAAGCCAATTTTTTTTTTGTTCAAAAACCATCACGCAAAATTCCCCCGGGCTCGGAAATCGAAAGCCGAATTGATTGCGGAAAAGCAGGGGGCATTGCTCATTGCTCGAACAATGGCCCTTCTAGCGGAGGAATTGTCGATTTATCCAATTAATGAAAAAAAGAGAGACATTGATATAAAATACGTACTGACTCGAGCGTAAATTAACGTAAATTATTATTTCGAGTACATTTTTCTTTTCTTGAAAATGCAATATCTAAGAAATCACCGAGACCTCGCAATTAATGGGCACGATTGGTTGTGAAAAAAGGGAAGCATTACTTATTGCTTAGGACACGCGCAGCAGGAAAATCGCCATCGATTTTCAGTAAAGAAAATTGGAAAAAAGGAAACTTCCAAAATTTTAAATATAACATACCTGCGAAATGTAACGCGGTGTCAGGACCAGCAAAAAAAAAGTTCTTTTTTCGATGGTAATAATGTAAATAAATTAAAGTTACTAGGTACGTAAGCCCTCAGTGGCGCCCGGGGGATTTCGCGTGGTTTCGCGTGCCGAAAGTAAGTAGTAGACTGTGAGTAAGAAATCAACTTACCTTTCCTTAAAACAATGGAAATCCTCCATTAACGCCGTGGGCGACCAAATCCTCAATAGATGCCTCGATGGGTGCCAATGTCCAAACTACCACACGCGGAATCGATTTAACCCTTTCCCTACGACGGATCGGCTCGTAGAAGCGCTACTTCGGTAATAGAATTTAAAATGGCGTGAATCACGTCACCGGTCGCGAATGTGTTAACGTCTAGGGACGTGAGGTAAATTATTAAAGCTTCATTTCAATTGCGAAAAAACCAATGCACAACAGATTAAAGATAAGCTTATTTATAATGCAGCTAGAAAATATAATTTAACAATGTAATTCCGTATGAAAAGTTTCAATGCACCGGTGTACCCAACCACCCGTAAAATATTATTTTTGAGCTTATTTATAATGCAGCTAGAAAATATAATTTAAAAACGAAATTTCGTATGAAAAGTTTCAAAGCACGGGTGTACCCAACCACCCGTAAAATATTATTTTCGAACGGATTCTTCCATCAAAACCTGATCATGCGCTGTTGCGATAATAAACCTGCAACATTGTTTGTCCCATTTCGCAATCCCGATCACGTGAAATCCTTTGAAACTCGGTAATAAAAAGCCAAAGGGAAGGGGCATCACTTATCGCTCGAGCCCAGACACTCGAAAGCGGAATCGCCGTCGATTTTCAAGTTAAGGGAAGGGTAAAGAGAGCATCGGAAATATCTCACGGACCTTCCAAAGCGACGCGATTAATTGGCAACGTTCGATCTCCGTCTCTAATCGGTATCGGGCTTTCCGAACGAAACGTTCGCTAATCCATACTTATTCCCAAAGCGGAGTGCCTCGATACTCGACCTGACTTTTCGCAGGGGGTAACTCTTTCGCGGGATTAACGAAGCCGAAGTGCCCCTCGAAGGGAAAAGGAAATACACGCCGAGGCTTCCGGCCTTCGAAAAGTTCCGAGCTTTTCGTCACGTGCGCGTTCTTTTTCTTCTTTTCCTTTTTTTTTTCTTTTTCAATTTCGGCCCGCCCTATAAATCGGCCCATCGATGCATTAATTGCGCATTGCTCCCGTGCGTTTCGAGGCGGAGCTTTTTCGACGATAAAAACCGGATCGAAAGAGCTTTCGAAACGACTCTTCCTTTTTCCCGACATAATGGCTGCGTTTTTGTCAGCGACTTTAAGGACATCCCGAAGTCGATTGAAACGATCGAATCAACAACCACTTATCAAATACTGTTCTATTACGTTTTTTCTTTATCCCTAGATCACCATTATAGTATATTTTTTATGTTTAAAAGCTATTATGCAGTCATGCGTGTTGATAACTCCAAACTGAACGTTATCCTTCCCTACCTACGTCGTAGGATATTCACGCGTGAGTGACACGTGTTCACAGACTTTATCTATTTTTTCCGTTTCAAAAGTGCCTGGCAATTGTTTATTAGCGACTTGTCAATGTTTTTCCTATGGAAGTGTGGTCATCCCAAACGTGGGCAGATCCCAGATCCTTTTATTTGGACATAGATTAGAACATAGAAAATTTACACGTGACTATGGAAGTCCTAATAAAGGGCTTAAAAATCAGGAAACTTCATTTTTCGAACAAATCTCTTTTTCGGTTCTTGTCCAGGATAAGTACACATTTAGTTCGAGAAATGAAATTTTGCGAGTCCTTCGCTAGTACCTTTCATGATGATGCATTAAAATTTCACATTATTCGGTGCACCCGATTTGGAGAAAAGTTTTATTAATATTTTGACTTTTTGCCATACATGTATATGACACTTTCATAATACCTTAAGGGATCCTTTTGAAGACCTGATTTATATTCAAATTGTTTCCGTGAAAGTGAGTGCCTTTTGAAGCTGTTTGCCTACCTAAATATCGATTCTGGGGTAAATTCTGGAAGATATATCTGGCACGGCGGTATAAACGTTTAATTGAGTTCTTGGCCTTTTACGTTGCTTCGTCCTCGACGTGCCGGAGTATAAAATTAATTACAGCCTTCCACTCGGAGACTGCGGAACGTAATGACACGGTAAGGGACGTGCAGGATTTTCCGTCTTAAGTGCTACGTGATCCTTATCTCGTTACTTCGACTACAACTCTCGAAACGGTTTCGTGGTAAATGAAAATTTGCATTGTTCCAAAAAAAGAAAAAAGAAAAGAAAGGAAAAAACTTACCCCAAGTTACGTGCTTATGGTGAAGTGAAACCCCCTTCAAATCAGTCGATTCGAGTACAACACTTTTTTTTAAGAGTATTAGACCAAACTGTCCGAAACTTTGACACATCACTCCTGATCATCTAAGAATTGTCCTGACGCATTCAAAATTTGGATTTTTTATCAAAATTGTTTAACTCAGCCCAGACCAGAACCAAAATGGCGTCGAGCTCTCATATTTCGATCAATATACAATTATCGAAGGCTCTGATATGAAAATCGAAAGGGTCAGGACAATTTTACGATAATTTAGAACACTCTGGTAATCGATAAACTCGCATTTGAACGGGATAAAGGCAAAAAAGTGTTGTATGCGCTTCTGTGCTAAAACGATGGTATACGAGGTCTCGGAGTGAAAATTTAATTGACCTGGAAATCACAGATGGCGCAAGGTGTCCCTCTGCAGTCAATTAGAGCCCCAGAAAGCATGAACCCAGAGGATTTCTGGAGTTTTACTTCGATTTCTTTACAATTATTGTACGAAATCGTCAGGTGGAGTATGCCATTTGGTAAAATACCCAATATAATTCGACACAGCTGTCAATATAAAAACGAACGTCGGCAGCGTAGGTATTTAGAAAAACCTTTTTTATCGACGTCGATCAAGTTCCTCGACGTGTTTCACTTCACCTTAAGTTACATAAACGTACTCCACATGAAAAAAAAAAAAGAAAGTAGAGTACTTGGTTTTCTAACGTGAATCTAAGAACAAAATGTAGAGTACAAACGTCGAGATGACATTCTACGAGATTTCTTTTTTACACGACGTTTTTAACGTTAAATAAAACGTCGCTGTCTTGCTAACGTTACATCGAATATCTCTAGATTCCTGCCCAGAATCTGAAAGAAAAAGGGGAAAGAGAGAAAGAGGAATAAGGAATATCGCCGGGTTCGAGGGGTCGGTCGGTCAGGCGGTCGTAAAACACGATATCCGAGTCCTTCATTGTTCCCGTGATAAGGGGAACATTTACCGGGCCACGTAACGCCCCTCGGCTTTATGGAAAGGTCGGGGTAAACGAGGGATCGCGCGCAAAATGGAAAATCCTTGCTTGCCCCGCGGATTTGCGAAGCCCTCAAACGTCAGGAATCAACTCGCGCCAAGTGCGCCCCTCCTCTCGGCTGATATTTTTTTCCCACCCTTATTTTTCATCCCACTTTGCTCCTCCATTTCTTTTTTTTTTTCTACATCGCCCTGAATTATCGCCCCCCAGGGTAGAAAAATCCTCTGGGGAGGAACACTTCCCCGGTAGTGTAATACTTATTTCCACATCCCGCGCTCTCCCGCCGGGAGGAAAACCGGAGCCCGGAGAAGCTCCGGGAGTTTCTTTACCAGGAGGAATTGCGCTAATGAAAAGAAAACTCCGGAGACATATTTCCAAGCCGACCCCCGGTCGATTGCTCATTCCCCGTGGGCTTGACGTAATTTCGATTTAACGCCCAGAGAGAGAAACTACCGTCACTCGACTTCCGGGGAATTTCCTCCCGCCGTGATACCGGTCCTTACTTATTCATAAATCGCTTCAACGCGAGTAATAAGAAAACGGTTTTTGGTCGCTACGCGCGTTCAAAATGAAATTTCTAGGTGAAGGAGAAAATTATCATTAATCGTTCTTAATTATTCCCCACGAAATCATGATCGGTACTGTTCGTTTTGGGCATGGTTACTGTTTGTGCTTCGAAAGTACAAACAACAAAACGAAAACCCCGAAAATAAATCTGTCATGCGTGAAATGACATCCGTGATACATAAAATGTATTCCACGAGACTTTAAATTAATTTTTCATCGTACCTACATGTAGCAACAGCACTATAATTACTTTTATTTATTTTCACTCTCCCGTTGTAAGTAACACTCGGATACTTCACTGTAGGTAATATCAAATGCGATTTCATGTTACCAACTCGGCAAAGTCAAACGTGATGTACGAAATTATAGTGTTTCGCAATAGGTGCCTTTCTTAACTTTGCTTCATCAGTACCTTACAAATAATTACTTAAAATTAAACACGAAGGTTAAGAAAAATTTCTCCTTACTGTTGTATCAGCGGAGTATATCTCGTAAGAGTCCAAAAACATTCATCTCGATTACCGCCAAACATCTCCATTTTTTTTTTCGATTCCATTTGATCACATATACATTGATCTAATCAATCGCTCCTGCTCTGTACTAAACGCAAATCTACAAAATGAGAACAGACCGACTGATACTAAAATGTATTTATTGGATTTATTCATCGAAGCAATTTTGTTACAAAAGATCGATCAAACATCATCTCGTGATCCTCGTTATTATCATTGTCAGTTCCTACTTTAATAGAAGTAGTACAGTAACGGAACAGACAAGCCATGTCTAGGTACACATCGGATCGTACCAACCAGGACTAAGGATTTTATTCCCATGCAAAGTGCTACGCAATGGAATCACTAAAAAAATCTAACCCGAACCAAAGGATAGGAAGAGTATAAAAACTATTTCCTGCCTTACATCCACAGATCACTCATTACTGAATTTATACTTTACTATTGCTATAATAAAACGCTAATGTACTTTATTACTCGTAACACTTGCCTTGCGAAAGAGCACCTCTTACTAGGCAAGCTTATATGTTCAGTATTGTTCACATAATTATTTTAACTAACATGTAACCCTAATCGCTAAGTCTAAAGCCGCACCCAACGAGACACTGGAAACTTACCATTCATAATCAAACTCTCAACATAACGCTTTACGTCCTTTAAACGCATATGCCATACATTATCAGTCATAATTACAGTAAAGAGCTACGCTGTTTTTAGAAAACAATTGCAAAAGATATTTAAATCCTACTAAAAGTGGGATTCACCCCACCATACATTATCTCGGCATAAAACCATTAAATTTCGCTTTTAAAAAGCAATTGAATCATCGATAGAAAAGTTAAATCCAAGCGAAGTCGCTACATTTTCTGTTAAAAGACACAAAGCAAGAGTAACCATCGATGCAACCTACCGATACTCGAAGCCAAGCAATGAGTAAGGTAAAGTAATGGCATAACCTTAAACATGCCATAATGTTTTAAATGCACAATTATAAACAGTATCTGGTGCAATCATTTTTAAGTCAGAAAGAGACTAGATGAGTCAAAATAGCAAGTATCAGCTAGAAAGAGCGATAGAGTTACAAATGATGTATAAGTTCTATTCGACATATTTAAACTGTAAATTATTAACAATACGCCGAGGAAATAGTATCCACTAAATTTGCGTATGCTTTGTTCGATCAAACGGAATCGTACTTTACGGAAACGAGAATGTATGATAAGTTCAATATACAAATATCCGATCTCTTCCGAGCCCTCCTAACCTTGATCGAAACCACAACGACCGATCCAACCAAGTCATTTTCTCAAGAGCTGCAAGTCTTGTTTATTAATACAGATTCATGGAAATACAGTTCAATGTATAACGATTACTCGCTACAAAAACACCAACGCTAACTGTTCAGAGATTGGAAAACAGTCTGTATAAGTGCTACGTAAGAAAATAGTGCTTCGGTCGTTCGGCAAGATCGAAGAGCCCCGGCACTGTACAGCTCCCCTGCTTGCTTCGCACGTGTTCTTAAGTATTCGTTGATATACCTCGCCTGTCAATCGCAGGTGGATTCGCTGACAGATTGGAACGAGTCGATACCTCTAGAGCGAAGGATGTTTATAGAACGACTCCTACCGACGCATTACACATAACATGGTAGACTGCTGGGTTGTTTAGGTTAACTGCACTCTACGCTTGCAGCGTTTTTAGCTGGGTTACGCGTCCTCACCCTAGTGTTGCATGAGTATAGTACAAATGCATAGCGACAGTGTCGGTGTTGAATGGTATACATATTTTTCATGCATTATTATACCTTAGCAATGCTACCGTACCAGTCAAGCAGGCAAACATTAAAAAATTGTATTTGTTAAAAAATAAAAAAAAGCTGCACTGAAATTTTGTTTCAATGACGTATATTCATTAATTATCACAAGCATTTCTAACTCAATGCCTTTGTCTTTACGCGAAAAGCTTATAAAATCCAAGTTTATTGCCAAATATTCGCATTAGCTGTTCACGGGCATTGCAATATTGCACTTTTGTAACACTTGTCCTCTGCAATGGTGTTAAAAGCGTAACGAATCGAATGCAATGCACCATCAACCCGACACCATCAAGCCAAACACGATACAACACTGACCAGTTGAACACATTTAGTGGTAATACTCTACACTAGCGATGCTCTGTAACGAGCTGAAAACGCTATTTGCGTGCACTTTCTCCAAGTTCGAAGTCTCGACCACTAGTTGTAACAACACACGCTGTTTAGAACACAAGTGCATTTACACTTTTTCACTTCTCAGTACAAAACTGTAGTACTTTATGTATTCGCCCTCGAGTAGATGCAGCGAGTGTACGTAGTTATCAACTGGTACCACGAGTATACAGTAAATATATAAAACTTAACCTATAAAAATTCTCAATTTCCCCCGAAACATGTTTCACAAGTTCACCTTGGACTCGAAGGTTTCTAACGTTCGTGGCAGTCGACAAGAATGTATCTACACTTTTGCGTCTTCTCAAGAGAAGGATGGTTTAGTCGGTTTCACTCGAGCGGAGAAAGTACAGCTAACCTAAACAAGACTACTCTTTTCTCGCTTCGATACCAACGTAGCGCAACACGAGTTTCTCACGCAACACCGTGAGCGAAGCTTGGCCTCGCTGTGACTGGATGCAACCAAGAGGCACAGTCCCTTACGACGCATTCGGATTGTTCCATATCGAAAGAGCCAGGTGTTTCCGGACATTGTATGCAGAGTTTTCATTGCACGCACTCCCAGTCGTGGGGCGACGCGACGCATGGCGAAGACGCTCCTCGTCCCTCGGTGTCTCATTAAGTGTGCTGAGAGAACCCGCTAAGTATGGTGCATCGATCGTACGGCCTATCTGTACACTCACAACCGTTCAGATACACAATAATATTAACATATTTAATATTGGACCAGTAAAAGCAAAGTAGAAAACCTCCGATGAAGACCTCGCGCGTTGGACCGACGCCGTGACTTTACGCTCGCGCCTAACTGCGCGTTTCACACCTAGATAGCGCATCTTTATCAATCTTTCCCTCTCACTCGCTCTCGTTCGCGCTTTCGTTCTCACGCATACTCTCTCTCTCTCTCTCTCTCTTTCACTTTAACGACTTTGACTTAGGCAGGACGAATGACGGACTGCGCTCACAGTGTTCGCCACGTGCCGTCGAGTCGACTCGCGGGTCGAAAAACGAGGGACGCACTTTTATCGGATCCCCTCTCGTAAATAATCCACCGAACGAATCCGACCGCGATTAATCACGCACACCCTCTCATCCTTTAGAAATTCCACTTCCACCCGCCCGGTGAAAAAGAGAAGTCAACTCACCATAATTCTCATATATTCCACTTCATTCAATCGTAATGTATATATAAGTAAGGTATTACAGTAATTTTCTATGTACGAATTAATATTTCCGACCGCTTCCACCCCGAGCCAGGATCGAAGAGGCGACGGAGGCTATACCCTCTCGAGGAGCCCTCCGATCTGGACTCCGACTTGCAAGCAATCCCTTCTATATAAGTCCATATTAAATATATTTTACAATAATATTATCATTGTACATGAACAACGTATGCTCTACACCTTGGTCTGCCATCGTTGTTTGCCAACCAGCGCAACCAACGAGTGCCGTTGCAAAGAATCGTAAGAAGTTCGCTTTAAAGTTCCTATGGTATACGCCGTACCATAAAATAAAGAATGAGAAAAAAGGTCGTTATAAAGTCACGCTCAGACGAGAAAACAACGTCCAGAGATAAACACCTAAGAGCGACCGGTCCTTGGATGCTCGGGCGCCTGGCAAATTGCAAGCAACAAACATACGACTCGGATGCGCTGATTAGGGAAACGATCGGCAAGGTGTCAATTAGTTAAAATAGACGAGGGGACTGGATTTGTGAACCCCGTTGTGTGCGCCGCCATGGTACCTGCTAGAATAATAAAACGACAAGGTTGCAATTTTCAGTCCCACAACTGACGTCGAGATCGTACTCGTTCAAAAATCTCATCTGTCGACTCAATACTCAAAACGACATCTTCCATGATATCTGATGCAAATCAAAAGGACTCGAAATCAAGTACACGGTACCGAACAACAAAATATTACCAAAGTCACATACCTCGATTGAATAAAGTTAAAGCCTAACCAACCGAGGAACTAAATTTACAAAACTTCATACGTTGCATACGATAACCTCTACATGAATATCTATGAAATGTTCAACAGGTATTATCAATGCCGTTTCTGGATTTGCATAACACTTACATGAAAAATGTGGTAGAACAGGCAGAGAGAGGTTATTCCTTCTTTTCCTCGGTAGTAACGGTAGTCGAAGCATTTTGGGAGTCCGATAGGGACGAAGGTGGGGCTTCCGAGGTGGCGTCTGTTGCATCTTGACTCGAGTCAGAGCTGTCCTTGATTTCCTCCTCCTTCTTCTCTTCGCTGGCAGCTACGCTCTTGGTCTCCTCTGCCGAGTTCTCCGATTCCTCCGTCGTCTTCTCGTCCTTGGAATTCGACTCGGGCACTTTCTCGTCCTTGTCTTTACTCTCCACCTCTTCGGCGTTCTTTCCGTCATTCTCTACCACCTTGATGTCGTCCTTCTCGTCTTTACTGTCACCTACGTCCATCTTCGAGGACTCCTCCTCGGAGTGCTTTTCGCTTTTGTTGTTGGACGCCTCCTCATCGGTATTATTTTCACTGCTCTTCTCCTGCCTCTTCGGACGACCGCGTCCACGACCGGTGCCTTTCCCTGACGACTCTCTCTTCTCTCTCTTGGGTGGCGAAGGTGCAGGGGCAGGCGAGGAGAGTGTCAAACCACGAGCCGAACTCCGGGTACGCCTTCTTCCTTCGACCTCTCCAGCCGTTGTGTTCAGTCCCTGCAAGAAACGCCATATTAATTACCAGATCAAGATTAATGAAATAACGCAAAGTGTAATTTAACTTATCACATGTACACCTATCACCCTACTCAGCTACTTTCTCTACTTTTAACGAAAAACAACCAAGTTAACCCTCCATAACGAAATTGTACTGTTTAAACCAAGAAGAAAAAATTGATATACTGTGAAATCTGCAAGTATCAACCTCCCAATATTAACTATTTCTTTATAAATTAAAATATTTTCAAATATACCTCTATATAAACAAGTTCCTCGGTTACGATAATAAAGTGCCACATTTACCTCGCCAGAAAAATGAAATGTTTTAACAAAATTTCAACATATGAGTACATAATATTAAAGTTACATGGCGTTATACAAAATTAAAGAGCATTAAACGATCTCCAAATGTCAATTGGACATGCGTTAAGACGAATTGATCTCATAATTAAAAGTAATCCCATCGCTGATATCATACATCCATGACTAGTCTCGCGCCAACCATGACATTTATTCCCAACGACCTTTTCTAATACCCGAGGCACAATAGACGATCCCACTGTCAAGGAAAGACATCCAACGAACCATCAACGTCTCGTGAGACCAGGACAGCGAGGTGTTCGAAGAGATTCAAAATTGGCGCCCTCGTGGCCATTGGAGGGTTCCGCCCCTCCCCCGTCGAAGATTCTCCCCTCTTCCCCCACTCCGCCGGTCGGCTACCCCCACCACTCGCCCTTGGTCACACGTAGCAAGTCAGGACCAGCGAGCGCCGGTGGGGAAGCCAACCTGAGGAAAACGGAGGGAAGAATTGGAGGGAAACGGAGAAAAAGGGAAGGAAATGCAGCCCTTGAGGAAGCCGCGATGAAAAGAAAAATAAATAAATAAAAAAAAGGGAAGCAGCCACGACTTGAAGGTCTTCGACCGCTCCGACGAGACTCGCCGGTCGACTTCCTCGGAGATCTCTCGAGGCTCACCTTGATGATGGCTTTGCCCTCCTGCGCTGTCCGTTCCAAGGTCGAGAGCCTCTTGGTACCGCCGCGTTTATTTTTCGTCGGGGTGGGCTTCTCCTCGGACGACTGGTCCTGCAAAAGCGAGAGATGTAATCTCGATTCCGGCGCGTTCCCTCTTTCGGAGCGGCGACGGTCCATCCTCGCGGCCCTCGAGTGTCGGACGCGTAGTATCGCTCCGTCTCACTCGGTCTCACGGTGCGGAGTGAGAGAGATAGAAAGAGAGAGAGGAGAGTCTAGAGGAAGATGCCGACTCGAGGCTCCGGTACATGTGCGGCGACGACTCACCGTGACCTACGATCACTCGCGGGCAGCGAGGAGGACTTCGGCGACGTGACGCGATAATTAGTGGCATCGGGCCGAGCGATAAGATTGTCGGGAACGGCCGGGCCGCGGGTTTAACTTTCCCGCCCGTTCCGCCGTGGAGGGCCGACGCACACATCTGGCGCGTCCCGCCCGGCACGGCGCGCCGGTAGGCACGGATATTCTCCGGGAAAAGGCCCGAGCGGTCGCCATGCTCGCGGATTTCCCGCCCTTTTTGAGGAAGTCGAGCCGCCGGACCACTGGCGCGCAGCGACGGCCCCAGAGTCGCGCAAGAGATACAAATAAAAAACAGCCGCCATCTTTGCCGATGAAGGACAAACGGCGCAGCTTTGAAAGAGCACCGAATACGCGCCTACGAGTCGGAGCCGAGCCACGCGACGTCGCCCTAACCTCTCGCGACTCGCGCCGAGCCTGGTCGGCCTCGCGACCGCGGACCGGCATCGGCGCGGCCGACCTGGACTTAACCTGGACCGAGCGTCCTCCCGTTTTTCGGGGCACTGCACGGCACCTCGGCGTGAAAACTCGGCTTGACGAAGCCCTCCGAGCCGCTCCTCCCGGCCTTACCTTGGACGCATCCTCGACACTGTTGTCGTTCTTGGTCTCCGCCTTGATGTCCGACATTTCTTTGCGCGTTAATCACTCAAAAACACAGGAAAACCACTGATTCTCCGCAAGAATTTGCGCCGAGCCCGGTCGCACTGTTTATACGATAAGCAAAGATGGCGGTTAGCGTGGGTCACGTGACCTCGTCAAACGCGGAGCGGGAGTTCGGGGCGCCGCCTGGCGGAGCAGGGCCAAACCGCGCGCGTAGCGACGCTCTTTTGGCGGGATTAATTTAAAACCTACGAGACGTACTCAATTTCCTTTGTAAAAATAATTCCAGCCGATTTCTTTTCCTCCGTGAAGTGAGTTGTTCGCAACTATGATTTTGCGGCTGACCTTGTTCTTGAAATTCGCATTGAGGTTTGGTCACCTTCGATGTTAAATTCAGAACGCGAGGACTCAACGTAAGATTAGTAAAATCCTTAAGTATGTTATAAATAAATTTTGCGAAAATTCTTAAAACTATAAAAGTACTGTACACGTCTCGATTTGTCAATGGTATCACTGAATCACCCGGGTGATTCTTATGAAGTACAAGTGCATGAGTTATTAATGCGCATTTGCTGCACTCTTTAATGTGTAGGCATTCGTCTGAACCAGAATCTGGCTCTAAAGTCATCGCTGCATGTCAGAAAAGCTGGAGCCACGGGAGAGTGAACAATTAACCGAACGGGACCATTGTGGCCCAATGATAATAACTGTTTCCTGGATGCATTTCTAGAATTCCAAGCACATAATGACGTTGTTGCTTCGTCAGGGAACATGACATAGTCTTCCGTATGATTGAAAATTGCTTGAGCCTTGTGTTCTTGTTTGCCTGTATAGAAGAATATTAGTACCTGAATTTCAGCTTTTATAGTTAAATGCGCGAATATTTTTGTACGTCCTAGTTTTAAAATGAAAACTCACAAGATATCAATTCAAGTTAAAAGATAATAAAATGGAGTAATAACCATATAGTACATGCGAAACTCTACAGTTAATTCTAATCAGACTTTTACCTGTCGTACCAGCTCCGGTATATGCAATTAAACATCTACTGGTTGATAGTTCCCACAATTTTATGAGAGAATCTTTCCCCGAAGATAGCAAGTACTATAATTAATAGAACAAAAATTGTATACATTCTATCGATAAAAACCATATATTCAATGACATGGTCAACTAACCTTTCCATTCCTTGTGAATGTTACAGAGCAAACTTCATACCCATCGTGTGCTTTAACAAAGGTATTTATGCATCGATTCGAAACTCCATCCCATATTTTAATGCTTCCGTCTTTCCCTGCTGATGCATATGTCTTTGCATCTGGTGAAAACTTAATACTGGTTATCCCAGCAGTGTGTTGATGACTTGGTATACTGCATACAAAGCATTGTGCTGTGTTCACATCGTATAATCGAACTACTGGATGATTCGTCCCCACGATAAGAAAGTCACCAGTTGGATGGAATGATAAGCATCGTATTTGATCTGCATCTGTGATTGTCCGAAATGCTTTTTTTACACTTGCTTTACTGAAGTCAAAAAGCTTAACAGAAAAATCACGGCTGCCTGACACTAAAATTGGTTCTCTGGGATGGAATTCTAAGCATGTTACTTCTTCTAAATGATCATACAAAGTCCGAATCACTGGATGACCTCCTGTCTGATCACCAGGAGCCATTTCGTCTGGAGCTGACTTAGCTAACATTCTATCGACATCCAGAATTTTAATTGATGCATCAACTGATCCCGTGGCTATTAGTTGACCATCTGCCGAGAATGCTCCAGCTCTACAATTTCCTTTATGCGAAGTAACATAAGCAGTTTCATATTGTGCAGGTTCAGGAGCTTGAGTTTGGGTTTCTGTTTCAAATTCCAAGTCCAATCCTGGTCCTAGAGTATTATCGAAATTTGTAAACGTTGGTATATTATTAATATCTTTCTTTCCTCGATCTGGTTCGTGTGCTGCTCCAATTAGCATCAAGTGTAGTAAACGGTCCGACGGTGGACACGGTGGGTCTGCTTGAGTGATATTAGATAATTGCACAGCGAGCGTTTGATGTCCATCATAGAATAACTGACTGAAATAATTATTTCACTAATAGATTTTCTAGAATATATTTTACTTATACACTACTTTGCATAAGTAAATCCATTTCTGCAAAGCATATCCAACCGTATAAAGTAATTAGTAATAAAAAAGCAATGCAATAAACCACTTCTTGCCTAGTATAACGCTAGAATAATTAATGGCATGCAAGAATCATTTATCTGTCCTCTGAGTCCATAAACGGCGCAAATATAATTACTGATATAATAATTAACCTGATCATAAGTCGGTACAACAGTTCTCGGCTTTTAATGATATTCTTCGGATCGACGTCGAAATCTTTAGAAGCATTGTGAGTTTCCATTTCTTCTTGTTGCGACTGAATCTTGGCGGCTGATCCTTCGATACTTTCAACAGTTAATATAAATTATTCAATTGCCGAACAAATCACGAATAAGACGCACAACTCATTCATAGGTTAGTTCCATGTCAACAATGTCCGACCATATTACTGCGTTTATCAAGAACGCTGATGATGTTTAAAAGGACTTGCCTTCATTGTCGGTCAGCTACTCGCTCCAACAGAAATACCCAATAAGAGGTTCCACAAAGTACCACGTGACACGGTACGGCATATTTTCCCCTTAAACAACGAATAAATATCGAATGCGATATTTCTACTATGCACCAATAGGAGCCAACTTTTCCCCTAGTACCATATCATGATTGGCGAAGATCAAAATCTCGAAAGCGATATATATCGAATTATTTCGAGATTAAATTTGTTCTTGTCGAGTGTGCACATGGAAATATCAGAATGGCGGAAACAAGTGATAGGTCGGGAGAGGATGTAAAGGAGCAATTCAAAAATAAACAAAAACGTAAGGAATATCCAAAGACACAGTATTTATGTAAAAAGAAGTACTCCATCGTGCAACCTAAAAGGAAAAAAGATATTTATGTAACAAAGAAGACAAACTTTAAAGTAAGTTCAGACTACAATGTTCTAACCTCATTTTTGCTCAATTTTGAATACCAGAGGTTAAGAGTTGCATCTGCCTTCGTATTTATAATTTCAGTAGACAGTGTAATTTAAATATCTTTTTTATTGAAAGTTTTGCATGAACTGACAAAATAATAATATTGCGTAAAATGAAATGCATTTTTGCACTGTTTTTTTAAAGGCTCAATTGAGTAAGTGTGAGAAACTACTCGATGCAGGTGAATCTGAGATAATAATCCATGGTCTTGGGACTGCTGTAAACAGAGCGTGTCATTTAGCCCTACAATTAAAAGAGAATCATCATGGGACTGTTGATATAGATGTTAATACTTCAACCGTAGAACTCATTGGTATGTATAAGTCACGTAGTGGTTGAGAAACAAATTCATTATTCATTAGTTCATTATCAAATATGATAACATCAATTTCAATCTTTTTTTCTATTAGATGAATTTGAGCCGCTTACTGACGACGTGGACTATGAAGTAAACAATAGGCATAGTTCAGCAATACATATTCGTGTCTTCCGTAAAGCATTATTAGGAACTCTAAAGTATGCTATGTGAGAATAATATAAAGCATTTGTGAAATGGAAATCATTGCAATGATACGTTAAAAGGATATTGTGTACTGTAATTGTATATCTACTTGAAATTATTGAAAGATGATTTTTTCATTAAATCAGTTAGTTCACTGGCTAGGTTTAACGATTTTTGAAATATGGATAAATTTAGTATCTCTGACTATTTTTACAATATTGCTAGCATTAAAACTCGATGAACATTACTTCTTAGGCAGCTCTGGCTGGTGGGTTGTATTTTCACCACTATTTGTTGCGGATGGTCTGAATACATATTTCTGTACGATAATATTCATAAGAATGCGGATGGAAGGAATGATGAAACCATCGATACTACGAACACTGTGGAGTTTAATATTCTTGCTCCTCATCTTTGTCTTTAAGTACCTATTATGTAAAAAGCTAACTGGTCAAAGTAACTTGGAATACTCCGAAGTGTTGAGCTCTGTGTTTATACTTCTACAACTTATCGCCGTCAGAGCTTGCCAGCTTCACTGACCCAGAAGAAATAGTTTAAGGAGTGTACCTGAATGTACAGTCATACTACCACCTCAAGCTCTAGGGATATACATAGGTAGTGAATTCCTGTATAATGTCTGATGAATAGTTGTATCATATAATGTACAAACTCTGTACATATAACTTTTTACCAAGCTTGCCAGAGAGTATTGAAATAATTTTCTTTCAAGCGCTTTTGTACATGGAACACCAAACATTTATTGCGCTTATTTAGGCTATATTTCATTGCGTAATACTTAATCTGTAACCTTAAATATTTGTATATAGACACATGGTAAAATATATCAAAGAAAGTTACACAAATAAGATATTACTAATTCATATCATCAATTTTATTTATTTACATATTAGGTACAAACACTTTGTGTCCATATTGCCCATTCCATTTTACACTAATTTTATATCCCGCGACTATTATATTCTTTACTTGCGAGTGTGTATAATGATAAAAATAAAGAGTGCTTTCATTCTCCAAAAAAGAGATTCTTCAAGTATACTCGCGATCAACACGTGTTGTCTCCATCATCTTCTAAGCTTTATTTTTGTATTTATAACTTTTATTTGAAAAGTAAAAAAGAGAAGGCTAACACTATATCTCTTGTGTACCATGTCAAACAGCTAACTAAAGAAAAAAGTAAATTCTGTAATAAACTTCAATTTTCAACATATTTCCATGAACTATAAAGCTAACAAATTAATATACGCATTAGCGTTTAACTTTTAATCCAGTTACGTAGCATCAATGGAGCAACTCTGACCTAACAATTTTACACCAGCCAACGGCGCATGTTTAATCACAATTACGCCATAATCGAATTAGGCTTAAATAAGGTAGGACATGGTCAGCGGAATCGTTAATTGAATATAGGAACGATTCCGCCGACCTTCGTCCACCGGTGCTTTGATTTCTGTTAGAATATCGCAAGGCCCGTCGATAAAGACCTACATGTACCAGTGAACCCAGAAGCTCGTGTTCTCTTATTCTCTTATTCATCCCCGGCACCGTCGCACGCGACACGTACATTTTTCCCATCTAAGTTTAATAAATATAAACATAATCGACCTCGTCTATCTATTGACGTCACCCCGTAATTCAGCGAATCACGTGCTTCGCCTTCGACGCTATTCTTAGTACCGTAAATAGATAAAATCTTTCGTCTTACGGAGCGGCAGTAAAAAGGAACGCATACTCCACTTCCTCCAGCAAAACTAACGGAGCGCAAAGCAAAAAACAAACGAACCACCGATCAGGCATTACCCCATTGAATCAATGAAAATTTGAAAAAAAAAAAACCCACCCCTGGACAACCGGCTCAACGAACCACCACAAATAGAACGAATGGAACGGGAGGTGTTTACTCGGCGTGCATATCCGGGACGTAAACTAAAGCATAAACAAATCATACACAGACGCGCGCGAAAATCCGGCAAAGAAAGCCGCGATCGAGTATTACCGAGTCACTCTCGACTCGAATTCCTCGGAATCGAAGGCACTCGATATCCGCGCGGGGATAAGGGAGGCAATTAAATATTGAGAAAGGTCATAAAGCCGGCGTTAATAATGGTTCGATCGAGTGCCAATAATAAACAGTTTAAAGGCCTATAGCCGGGTGGGTGATGGGCTCGCTCCCCGCTCGACCCGCCGCTACCTGCTCTCCGCCCCTCCCACCCCTCGGCGGTCCGCCGACCGTGCCTTCCCCCTTCCCTCATGCCCTTTAACGTCACGTGGTCTTGCCCTCCGATCCCCGCGCGGGCCAACCCCGCTTCTCTCCTACCGTAGGGGATCAATATTCCCGCCCGTAGGGAGACAGAACTAACGTCCACGCAGTTCGGCAAGCAGGGTGGCGGAAGGGGTGCCCGTCAAACCGCTCTATAGGCAAAGCCTGTTGCTGCCACTCGAGAGGCTGCTCTTGCCGAGGTACCTCCTCCGTTACGCGGACGTTCCCATTGGATTTCGTTTCGGCGACACCCCACGACGCCAAGGCCAGTGATGAGTGGTGGGCTCCAAGCCAAAGATTATGGATAGGCTGGCTAATTGGACGCGCGGTTAGTTCTCCGACCTTGTTGCCCCTGCACTTTCTTACGTATCCTTAATTCGTGTCGATATTTACGGACGTGGTTGTAGGGCTGCAGCGTATTTCGCGAAAAAGAAGGGCGAGTTTCTTCAGCGAGATGTGGCGTCGGCGAGAAATTTCATCCTGACTTTTAACCGCCAGTGAGAAATTGAAAATTAGACCATTGGACCGATTTTAAGGCGCTATCAAAGTGGAGGATAGGTGATTGTGATACTTTTATACGGACTGGGTGTACCGTTTCACATTTTTCCACGTGAATGTGGGAACTTTAAGGGAGTTCTGGTATCCGTGGAATATAACTTTTTGTAAACAATATTGAGAAATGTTCACAGATTTCAAAGTACTGATATTTTATGGGTACAGGGACCTTCCCTTAAGGTCTTCATATTCACGTGGTAACATTTCAAACGACTCGGTGTATCCAATTCGGAGAAAAGTCCCATAAAAGGAGCTCGTGAACCACTTTCACACCGCCTTAACGAAACGGCCTCGATGGTGGTGAAATGTTTCTTTTTTTTTGGACGTGAATGGATCCTCTTTTTTTAACCGAGAGAGTAACGCATTAACACTGATGAAAATGTTTGCGCAAATTGTCTCAATACTAACACGCGAAGATGAATATAAGTAGTAATGAACTATAAAAATGGAATTTATCCAAATTGTTTCGGTAGTTAAACACAGATATGAATGTTAGTGGTAAATAACAGTAAAAGAAAGAATTGGGATGGGATGCCAAGAATGAGCGGCGATTTTAATGCCAACTTCGCCAAGTCGGAAACACATGCGATTGATTTTTTACACATTGAATTGAAAATAAATAACACTAATGGAAACGTTTACGCAATGTAATACTAAAAACACAGGAATGAATGTATATAGTAATTAACCGTTGAAAAAGGGTTTCATTTTCCGAAACGGGTCGCTTTAATAACGTCTGAACTGATATGTGATATCGTGCCAAAAAAAGTTTCACCTTATAAAGTAAAAATCATGGTATATATATATATATTTTTTAGGTTCTTTTAATCGTGAGGGCGGAAATAAAATGTGCCGGTCATAACTTTATTAGTAGCGTAACGAACCGGAGAATTAGATTAGGTATGAATAGGTGACTAATTGCACACGCGGGTGGTTCGTATTAATTGATTCTTATCGTCCCAGGTCGACGATTTGATTGAATTACAAGTAATATAATAACCCACGAAATTGGTTTCATTTAGTGGCGAAAGTTCCCCTTTTCGGTCATTTGGTGAATTTTACGAGTTTTGGAAATGTTTTTAAATTAAAGTGTTTATAAAATAGTCGATTTTACCCAGGGGTAGCATTGTATAATAAATGGCTCATCCGTGTTTTAAGGGAAAATTTTCATATGCATTGAACGTTTGGTGTATCGTGTTCATGTTAACTTTCTTTTATCTATTAGGCATAAATTCGACAACACCTGGTTCCGAACACAATTGTGTAACAAATTCATCGGAGTCCCTGGACAAATTACTTGTCACTGCACCTTCATGGACCGCTGTGAATCAAGACTTAAGATGGATTTTCCTTCTACACGTTTATGGATTTGCATGCCTCTTTTTTGTACTCAGTTTCTACACCTTCTTCTCAATTTTAAATTTAAGGTACGTCAATTTGTTATCCACTGGGTAATGATTTAATTAGGCGTTACGTTCCCTGTAACGTTAGGTACATCTCCAAAAAAATATTTTCAGATCACTGATTTCCAGCCGGCCTTTTTTGTCAACGATTAATATATTCTTATGCTTGCTTGGAGCATCACGGGCAGGTTGTCTCTTCATTGATCCTTATAATCTCAAAGAGGTAAGACTCTAATATCTTTACATTGTAAATGCATTATTTAAAAAGAAACGGACTGCAACATAAAACAACAAAATTGGGATTTCAGACGATGCCTAAAGTGATTGGCTCGATCATGTGGGACATTGGATTTCCCTGTGTCACCTCTGCCTTCTGCCTTATACAACTGGCATTTCTTCAACTGACACAGGTAACAATCCCAATACCACTCATGGAAAGTAGTAACATTTTTCTGAAGGATTTCGAAATAAATATTTACACGAGATTCGCGAAATCCCGGGACGTGGCACCTAGCCAATTGTAGTTTAACAAGTTAAAGAGCGCCGAAAGAAAGTTCCGAAAATCATGCTCGCTTCCTATTTAAAGTGAGTCGTCAGGAATTCTATTTAGGCGGAGACTGTTAGGTTTGGTACCCGTCGAAGATAAATAATCTTTCCACTGACATCAATGCCTATACCATTAGGTGAGGAACGTTATTGTCAACATGTGACTGCAGGCATTAAAAGCGTCTGCAAAAATATACCAGCGATGACCGAGAAAAACGTTTGCGCTTTTCTAAACTGAAAACGAATGCTCGAGACCTTAAGGATTTTTAGCATTTCCATGTTCACCGAATACGATTAAATTGAAGATGTCAATTATCCCCTGCGGATAAAAGATACAAATTGTATATTCATAATTACGTGCTCGTATTATTCTTACAGTTGAAATTCGGGCTCGAGAAGATACAAAAAGAATCCTGCCTGAGTGTCGTGATCACCTCACACTTTTCCTTCATCATTGCAAGCGACGTGGTTCTCATATTTTATAACCACTATGTCGAGAAGTATGTGGTGCAAATCGTATTCCTAATCTGGAGCGCAGTTCTGTACACGACCTTCTTGCACGCGGGTTATAAGGTGATGCACCTACTGAGGACCATGCCCAACAGTTTGTTAATCCGTGAAAGTACTCATCCAAATCAAAAAGGTCCGTCACTACCTCTTATAGGAACGACACCTTTACTATATTATTCGAACCTAATGTATTTTTATCGACCTTTGTTTACAGGCATCATGCAATTCGCCATGCTCGCACCCTACAAAAATCTAGCAACGTCCGTAACTGCTGCCCTCGTTCCTACCATGCTCTGCCCTAAATTAAAAGGATCGGAAGAAGTCGAAGCACCCGTTAGTCCTAACAAGGACTCAAGTTACAATCAGAGCCTTAAAGGTAACATTTAATAAATTTCAGTGCATTATCGTCGGCGTACATCTAGACTGAGATTATAGTCGACTAACTTATTTAATAAACGGTTCCTTCGTAGCCGAAATGCCGAAATCGCCTAAAACTCCAGAGAGAATCCGGAAAGATAGTCTGGCCACGTCGCTGCAGCCATCGGCGCAAATTCAGGCACCTCAAATTCAGCCGATTTCGACGGTGCCGGAAGTGTATGTAAGACCTCCGACTCCAACGCCTTCAACGGTTGATCTACCGACTATAACGATCTCAAGCCCGAGTCGCAGAAGCTCTCTGGCTAGCAGACGAGGAAGCGACGTCTCCAGGACTTCCCGCAGGAGTTCCGAGTGCAGCGTGAAACTCCCCGGCGAGGATAATTCGTCGTCCCTTTCCGAGTCGAGGCGCAATGCCGACTTCACCGCCAGGCACTTTCCCGATAAAGAGAGGCCGCGAACTCCTGAAAGTATTTTAAGGAGACACTCCGAGAACATCACACCCACTGGGAGCGCGAAAGACATCCGAAGGTGCTCCGACTTCACCCATGAGAAAAATCGCAGCTCGCAATTTGCAACAAAATTGAGGAGAAACAGCGATTTCGGGAACAGGACCCCAAGGAGGATGATGCCGCCCGATGAGCACCATAGACTGCCAAAGTTACCCGACTATAGCCCCACAGGTCGGTTTGATTCGGATGTTTTTTCTTTTAATTTGATTTTCATAAACTTTAAGGTGATGTGAAAGAGACTTGATTATGAAACTTTTCTGCGAACTGGGTATACCGAATCGCTTGAAATTTTACCACATGAACGTAAATACCATAAGAAAGATCCTGACACTCGTGAAATTTCATGTTTAAATCTTTTCTTTGTAAACAATTTTGTATTTATTAAATGCAAAAAATGGAATTTCATAGGTGTCAAGGACTTCTTTAGAGCCTCCATATTCACTTGGTGAAATTTCTATCGATTCGGTACACCCAATTCTGATTGATCCTTGAAATGTAGCTTTCACATTACCTTAAATTAAAACTAGGTATGGCTATTTTTAATTAGTACTCCAAAGATTAAATTGACAAAGAAATAAGAAATTATCATGACTTCATTTTCCTTCGAATTTAGGTTCCAGGCGGAATTCGGACCTCGGTAGTGTGACGAGCACGAAAGTCGACTCCAGAAGGAATTCCGACTTGTCGTACAGGCGCAATTCCGAAATGTCTCAGATCAAACCGCTCGTCATAAATCGTCATTGCAGTGACGTAAGTATCAGAACCTTGGACAAAAGTCCAACGCATTATCAGTGCATCGTCCCCGAGAAAGCGGACATACCCGAGAAATCCGAGTCTGACTCGGACCAACCGGACTGCAGCGAAAAGGCAGCTTTGATGTGCGGAAAACCTAAGGATAAGGACGAGGAGGCCAGAGGCCGCAAGAAAAACCTATCTTGGAAGACTGATAAGAATAAAGACGATCCCGAGGAGATCACCGTGGAGTCCAGCTTATTACGCACCGAGTCTGCCGTGACGGAAGGGAGGGTCACGGTAATTATGCACATGATCCCTCGTAACTTTTAAGTTTGTTCGATAGAAATGATAATGATAAATGTTATTCGTTTATGCAGCGTGCGGATTTTCGACTTCAGTTGATACTGGACCACATCGCATATGTAAATCGAACTAAATCGGACACTCCGTTGCATATTCCGGAGGCCGATACCGCAGCTGCTCGCAAATCTCAAATACGAAGGGTCTTAAATGTCATGTATGCCACTGCGATTCTAGGCATTGTACTATGCATTACAGAAGTGGCTCGAGTAATTGGTCCGTACGGTAAGGCCCGTTTTTAAAATCTTAACTCGACAAATATGTATTTGGCACTCTCACTTCTATGTACTGACAGTATACAGAATTGTTACTTTCTTGCAAAACCTAACGATATCAAGAAAAAACAAAGAAATGACAAAGTCAGGGATGTCAAGGTGGGATGAAAGTAGCGTCAAAGAAGTCTCGTTTATGAAACTTTCCTCCGAAAAATTGTTAAATGTCTAAACAAATTAAAAAAGAAAAAATGAAATATCAGGGGGGGAAGGACTTTCTTTCCGCATCCACATTGTAAAGTTTGAAACGATTCGGTACACCCAGTTCGGAGGAAAGTTTCATGAACGACTGACCCCTCAGATACCATTCCCTTAAGAGAGACGTTACGCGACTTGTTAATTAAATTGCGAGCACAATATGCGTTCAGTAGAAGGGTAAATGACATTATGAATTTTCCAGGTCTTTTGGCCGACACTGTCAAGTATGGCACGAGGCCAGCAGCTCATCAGTACCCTAAACCATGGCCGTGGATCATATACCAAACATTGTGTAGGGTCCTGGAACTCATAATGGGATGTGCTATGGCAAGCATAACGAAGCAGCCTTCGGTAAGCCTTCGGCATCATCAGTATTTGAACAACTATCCCAGCTATAGTTTACGGATCAAGTAGGTGGGTATTTGCGTGCTAAGCAATACTATCTCGTTCCCGAAACCTAAGCAAAAAGGGGATGTAATGCCAAACCGTACGTTTCTAAAGTTGTCTGGGCTATACTCGACTCCTTTCGTGTCTGTAATCAAGAGATCTCGTAGCAGCCCCACGAGTTAAGGCGGCTTCTTCCGTGAGAAAGAAGCTTCCGGTGCAATTGTTCGTTGCATCGTTCCGACTGGCAAAATGAAAGGTTTCTACCCGTCGTAAATTCGCGGTGCATTGCGTGTGAATGCAGATTTACTCCGACAAATGTGGGGAGTCTACCAGCTGATTGCAGTCCGACTTGACGGAACTATAAAGCGCCTCTCTTAGACTGATCGTAATTTCTACTGCAAAACGGAAGATCGACTGCGATATATGTATATGGGCGTGCGAGAGAAAGAGAGAGATAAATGGTGACAATTATACGGGGGAAAATCCTCCGGCCGGATAAATGGTAACCCGAATCTTATAGTTGACGGTAATGCAGCAATATATCGATGTGCAACATTCTAAAGAGCAGAAACTAAGTTCAAATGACATATATAAATATATCTAACTTTATATTTTTCGAGTCGCAAACTCCTCCGGACAGGACGACACTCACCTTCTACAGAATCTATTTTAACGAGCGAGAGCGTATATATATTTTTAACTTTAGATTAGTATCTCAACGCTACTTTAATTGTTTGTTTTTTTTTGGTATTTCCCCGGCGGCTCGAATGAAAAGACGGAGGGTATTTAGGGCCGTCGTGATTTTACGCAAAATGCTTTGACCAAATACTATGTTAAAGCTGCACAGTAGAGGCGGGATGTACATAATTGAAACCCTTTAGCTCTAGTTTAGGGATCGATATCGAACGGAACAATTCATTAATAATGCGTTCTCCACGACTGGAATAGTCGTCGCAAGGAGCGAACCCTTCTTAAGTGCCCTACTCTTGGATGTTCGAAACAAAAATAATTTATTACTAAAAACATTGATGTCTAAGTGGTTTAACTACAAATGAAACTTGTAACAGTGTTGTGATCTTATATGTGATATTCGTTTAAATGTATAGACTGGAGGAATAAGTACTTTGGCGACACAAGTTCAGCTTCTTAAGGACCAGATCTTCGTGACCATACATTTATCGTAATGCCGTATCAACAAAATGTAGGATACAATTGAGTAGCTGACATTTAAAGGAAATAGATTCCATAGTAAATATGAATTTCTAGAGTAATACGCGTATTTGACATTTTCTTTTTTTAAGTCTAATTCTCTCAATATTTCGGCCCTTGAATCTGTTATATCAAACCGTAAATTGTAACGAGTCTTGAGAAATTGGCCATTGCAAGTCTCGGTACTTTCCATGTAACGGTGAAATTAATATTTACATTCCTTGAAATCGTTGGCAAAATAAGTTTAACGTAACCTAATGTTCCCAATTGTTTAATTTTATTTAAGAAAAAAAAACGATATAAAAACCGTACATTTGTTCGTTACAAATAATCAAAAATTGTAGCACTATCTTCAAGTCAATACATATTGTTAATAGAGGTATAACGTTTGTGCAACTAATCTCTATAGTACAATGAAATGACTATCTATGAATCATACAATCGGAAATGGTCACGATGGCAAAAACAAAACCACGGCTATGCTTGTACCATCAATGAAAACAGTAGACACTGTCTGTTGGAGCAAAAAGTAGATTAAACATTAACTATAGCAGTCTAACATAGATGTATGATGAATGTTTAATGTGCCAAATATTCATGTTACGCATTTTAAATGTTTATGACGGTATAAGTCCTAAGTTAGAAAGGCGTCTTGACGAAGCATTTCAAGAGCCATATTGGCAGAATGATTCCAGATTGGCGTATCTGCAAAGGTGGAACTGTAACACTATTTTTATCAATGAATAACCGGTATTTTAAGATTGAAAGATGTTGGGCATATTTTTATTGCACTCGAGCGTTGCTTTTGGCGGAAGACAATAGTTGTAACGCAAGGGTGACTTCAACTGAATCTTAAAGGGACGTCAAATATCAACAGTTGAGAACTAAATGAAGATATCGAGAAGCTCGGTAAATGAGTAAAGTATATTTTATAATTGTCTGATTATTTAAACCGTAAAGACTTATTAAGGGAATTAGTTTCACCAGTTTTGGACCTACGTGATTCTTGAACCCACTCCTTTGAGAGGTTTCACGAAGAAGTTCAATTAACATTGCTTGTTATTAATTCTACTTTTGTACAAAGTTTAATTTGTAGGTATACGTGAGAAATTGAAGTCATCCTTTCACGAAGAGCATTGCGGTATCCTACTCTTGACTGTAAATACACGAGAACTTCGTGGATTTGTGATTCAAACTGAACATACTCTTAGAACGGTGATTCATAATATTTTAAGATACTCGTTAGTGATGGGAAGCCTACCGCTTGTGATACCTTTTCTTGTAAAAATAAGTTTGTTTACTTGACGCGTCTACCACTGTCAGTTATAGATTGGGCAAACATTAGAGAAGTTGGATTAATAATTTCCTATTGGGTTATAACCGCACACGACGGATGAAAGTTCGACAATACGAAATCAAACTTCATCGTAACATTCTACACGTGAACTGTTCATATCAAAAGCGGAGATCATCAGGCGTCGTGATTTGCAAGTGAAGATTAGTAAACAATTAAGACAGGCGCAGTGTAACATCAGTGTTATGAATTTGTATGAAGTTGTAACACTCGACGGATGAATTTTTACCAAAAAATAATAAAGGAATAGGCGAAAAAGGATCCTTTAAATGGTCTGCACTTTTCCTTACTGGAAAATAGTACGTTCTAAATGGTCCGTTAAGAACTTCGTTTTCAATCGTTTTCTTGAAGTTTTAATGTTATAACTCGAACTACGTTATATAATGAAACGTTTCTAGATTGTTCGAATGATCGAAAGAAAAGGACCCACTCTTGAAATTGCCTGTTTTATATATTTTACATCATGCAGCGATCACCACAGAATCGTATTAGAATCGTAAGCCTATGAAATTGAGAACATCGTACATATTGTTTACAATTGTATAAGCAATAAGGAGGGGGTCGATGTTCTCCAACCTAGTCAAAGTTGTGCATGTATTTAAATTATCAGAAGTATCGTAGGACTCAACTCATTGTAAATTTAATTATTTAATACCAAATTGACCATTCACCTCGTTAACTGATGTTTGAATATACATTTCTTATATTACTTCTGTGGCACTTTGCATCAAGTTACCATATTTTTCTATCGAACACTTAACTATATTCATATTCATAATTGTTAAATGTATTTTCAAGCCTTTTTTTCTTTTTTTTCAATTCGGTGCAAGCTATTTAATGAAACAACGGTAACAGTGAATATAACCTTTCGCCAATCGAATAATCGGCGGTTCTATTTACGTAATAATGCATTTCAAACCTTTATCTTGCGTCATTTAATCTACCAGCCAATGACAAATTAATCGCATGAACGTGATTATTAAATTGAAAAGTCGCGAGCGCATTTCTAACAAATTATCCAGGATACTGTACTTGATTCTATTTTGAACATTTCTATATAACCACTTTACCCATCCAGCACGTACAGAAAAATATACAATTAACCTTTGTAATCGAAATAATCTATTTCCGGCTCAGGCGATCTTGATCTCGATGCTGGAGTCTGAGATTTCTGCAGTTTCTTAGTAGCTAATGGCAACACGTCCACGTTTCTGTAATGTTTAACGAGAATTACCCTTTAACTTATTCGCTACATAGATGATAAAGAGAGACTAGCAATATTCTTATCTACTGAGTTGATCACAGAGATTCACATTTTAGTAAGGAATACTGTTAATCACATCCGCAGCAGTTAAAGATTATTACCACCCCTTAAAACTGTGAAGTATAGAAAATAATATTTTTACCGCAGTGAAATACCACTCCTCGAAGAGTTGAGCATAGGTCCAGGTACCTTCCTCTGGCCATTTTCTCGTTGCACAACTTTTAACAGACTCAGACTGGGAAGCCAGCACTGAAACGTAGCAAGCGAAATTTATGAAATTCTTCTCTAACAAATTAAAATATTTTAATCAGTCACGTGCAATATTTACCTTATCCTTGACAGCCGTTGCGACAACGTTCCTTTTGGGTTCTTGGTCATAAGCCTGACTTTCACAGCCAAATTGTTCGCAGCATTCGTGCACAAACTGTCTCTTGTCTCTGTTCATAATCTCAAAAGAGTAGCTCCTAGACTTGTGCTTAGAAGTCTTAGACAATTGTACTAGTTCTGTGAGTCTGTCGTGTACCGTCTGACAGAAGTACGGATCTTTCTTGGCCCATTGTTTCATGAATTCGCTATATCTGGGCATTAATTTGCCACTTAAATCAGGATTAACAATCTGCAGCCCTAGAGCCAATCTCCTGTTCCTCTCGATTGTTTTACACTCATCGTTACACTCTAAAGTTTTCAGTTGGTTTTGCTTCTTCGATCCTTGACCGAAGACCTCCTCCAAATCCACCGAATGACCTAGCTGCATATCTGCCATTTTGCTAGCTAAGATTCCACTAGCAATTCTCTGGTAATCGCGTGAATTCTCAGCACAGGCTCTGGTCATGCTTCTGTGACCACACTGACAGGTAACCTGTCAAACGAAAGAAATATTTTCTCTTTAAATATATACATTTCTTTGATTCTGAATAACTGTGCACTGAATAAATAATAAAAAAGCAGGCATACCTTCACCGTCTCCTTACAGGGTACATCCGGACACTTGCCTTCATGGCAAGCAGCGCCACAAATGTGACCGCATAATTCTCTCTGAGTAGTGCAAGGTTGTACACAAACGTACCCTGGTTTCTCGCAGGGGCCGGAGTGACATATTGTGATGCACTTGTGACGTCCACAAGATAAAGGTTTGCCACATGGCAGACCGCACGAAACTTCATTTACGTAACAAGGCACAGCCTTTCTTAACTCGTGATTACCATAGCACCACTTTTGCGTGAGAACAGTACATGGTGGACAGACTGGCTCGCTGTGACAATTATGCAAGACTTCATGCGTGCAAGGATGGTCTCTCGAACAGGGTCTGTCACAGGTTGGACGTCTTGTTCCACAAGGTACTGGAGGAAATATCGTAGCAGCTCCACACTCACAGTACAATTCATCAAAGCTACTCCTCCAGCAAGGTTGACACCGACCTGAAATAAATTAATGGTAATACTTATGGTCATCAACATGACCCACTAATTACATGTAGCACTAATTTGGATACCAAATGATATTCATACCTTTATGACAAGTTTGCTCACATTTATGCCTGCCACAACTGAGAGTTTTTGAACATGGCAATGGACATATATGTTCAATATCGATGCAGCATAATTGATTGCATTTATGTTTACCGCAAGACCGCTTCTTTGTACACTTTTTCTCGCAGCGAGCATCGTCAGCTTTAGTCATTAAATTTTTACACTCAATTTCCTTGTCCATATTACCACAGCGACATTTGACATTAGATGTAGACTCACAAGCAGGGCAGTCACCATGATGGCATAAGGCCTTACATGTGTGGGGATTACCTATTTATTGAGTAAAGAATATTATTTTAAGTTTATAATCATCTTGTGAAACAATTTAACATCGAGGTTCAGAACTATTAGGATATATTTTCAAAACTCACTGGGCTGACCACATTTAAGTGGTTTGTTGCAGACTTTATCGCATGTTGGCACTTCATCCAAACAACTTTCCCTAGGTTTTTCTAATGGAGTCTGACCGCAGCAACAGTGCGTTACTGACTCTGGCTTTAGCACACACGATCCACAAGGCCCTGAATGACACTGCTCCGTACATCTGTGGTTCCCACAGTCCAACAATTTGTCGCAAACATTAGAGCAAGTATACAAAGATGGTACATTAAGCTCACACCTCACATCTCTACTGTATTTGCCGCAGAAACAATCTGCAGAAAAATAATTCATATTACTTAAATTATAAGTGACAAAATAAAATGAAATAAAAGTAATTGATGTTTTGAAAAATGATGAAGAACAACGTTTCACCTTGATGAACCATTTTTTCACAGAATCCACAGTCACCATGATGGCACTTTTGCTCACAGGTGTGCTTGCCACAGTTCAACTCTTTGCCACAAATTTCATCACACGTCAGTAATGTTGTATTACTACATTGAACAGTTCTAAAGGTTCTGCCACATCCACAGTATTTTGTAACCATGGCTATACATAAGGGACATGCACCCGGGTGGCAAAGAAGAGTACATTTGTGAGCACAGTTGTTTTTAGATCGGATGCCTCCACAAGTCTCACCACAAGAGTGAGCAGTATCTCGACGGTTCCATTCCGGAGATTTCATCTTGCCACAGAAGCAAAAATATTCCTCAGGTATAACCATGGTGACATTTTGACAAGCTGGACATCTCCAACCATTCTCTAAAGACATATTAACAAACAATCATATTAATATCAGTAATTAATTCATATTATTTACTCCTTCTCTGAACATATTAAACACAATAAAAAATAAATTACCACTTTGTGATGATTTTGCCCATTTTTTCACACATCTCAAATGTAGTACGTGATAACAGTTTTGACATGACCATGTATGATCATTCTGTTTTATAAAGTCACAACATACGAGACATTCCAATTGACCTCTGTTTAACTGCTCCGTTAATCTTTCTCTTTGACTTGCGTCGTCATCTATAAAGTATATTACATTATTACAAAATATCAGAATTTCACATAATTGTATCTATAGAAAGATCATTTTATTTCATTTTAATGTACTCTAAGTTAACATACATTAGGTTGATACTAACCTAGTTCATTTCGCTTGCTGCTCTTTCTTTGATTAATACTAATTTTACCGCTGTTATCAGATTTTTTCCGCCAGTTTTCTGAATCTCGAAAAACATCCCTATTCCTGTCCCTATCTCGCATTTTCTCCCCTCTTTCGTAATTATATCCTTTACAATCATTATAGTCTTGATAATTATTTCTTCTATCTTTATAACCAGAATCGTATCTGTCATCATTTCTATCTCTTTTTTCCCGATACTTTGCAGATATACTACCATTTGGTAAGTTTCTTCCATTGTTAATTTGGGTATTTTCAGAATCAGTATCTTGAATCGAGAAATTTGGCTTATTACTGTGGTTATCATATTGTTGCAAATTTGCAGCTGACTCAAACACATTCTCGTTGGTATATGCCTGATCAATTTTGTAACTACCATCATATTCGTTAATTGCATTACCAACATGTTGAATTTGAGAATCGTTAAGTTGTACATTTGCGCTTGAAGCTATGTTTGCATTAACAGAAACATCTACAGATGCTTCTGCTAATTTTGTTGTTTCACTCGCTCGTACTTCTGAATGTCGCATCGTGTTCTTTCGCCCACTATAATTTCTGTCATTCTGAACATTTCCATGTGAGTGGAAGTTTCCTTTTGGTGATCTTACAAAAGTACTTCCACTTCGATATTGATTTTCTTGTAATTCATTACCTTTATAATTGAAATTCCTTCGATTTCCTTGCCGTTTCTCACTGAACCTACCTCGATTGTCCATGTAAAAAGTATTTACCGAACCTGCCCTTAATTCCTGTTTTGTTTCCTCACCTGCAACTTCTACATTGCAATTTTGTGGTGGCTTCCGATCTTTATTACCACTAGCAAATGTATTTTTTCTGCTAAATTTCACGCTATTTGGAATAAATTCATTGGCCGTAGCCTGTAAATTTGAGTGCTTTACGACATTAGAGTCAACTGTTTTTCGTTTTCCAGAAAATCGAGATGTACTACCACTGCTGTTATTTTTATTTTTTGTGTCATTACTACTCTTAGAAACCCAGTTCGGAGCACGCTGTCTTACACGGTTATCCTCATAGAAACATTCAGGATTATATACAGTATTAAAGATATCACAATTGGCAGTTGGAGCAGCATGCTCCTGATACATGTTAGGCAGTGATCCCCCATTGGGTGGAACTACATTAGGTGGGACAGTAGTAGCATTGACTCCCTGGAAGCCAAGGGCTCCGCTTTGATTGAAAACAACAGACCCATTCTGAGGGTAACCAGCAGACCTGTTTTGAAAAGAAGTCTGGTTCTGACCTTCGGAGGAATAACTCCAATTCTGAGGATTAGGAGTTGTATTGCTTTGGCTAGGATAAACATAGTAGCTAGGTTCTTCAGATCCATAGTAGGAGCCGTCCCATGTGGCCATGTCCAAATTTACAACCCTGTTTGAGAATTTAGTGTTCACTGAATTCACGACAAAAGAGAACGACTGTATGTCCAACGAGCTGTATATCTATAAAAGAAAAAAATGTCAGATCCATTAAAGTGGCAACACGAACATCGAGAGTTCCCCAAGCCTCAATTACCCCACCATAAGTTACAGCATAACCAACAATTCCTATTCAGTGGTACAACTTTGCGTACAACTCATACTACTGCTTCGCGTAACCCGTTTAAGAAAGGAAAACGTCTCATTTTAGGTCTCCTTTACGCAATATTTAGAAAAATATGAGAAAAATGGATTTTTTACCTTTTCTCTTCTATAAATCAAAACACGCACTACCGCTCATTGGTGAGCGCGACGCCGTCTCGAACTACCTGAAGATGCTATAGAAATAACAGAAATGGAGAAGAGGGAAGACCTCTTGAAGAGTTTGTGATGTCATAAAAATGATTCCTGGCAGAGAGAAGATGAGAGAAGAGATGAGCAGAGATGAGTTGAGAGATTGCTCACGGGCAGGGTCGTGCAATCGCATCCTATGCTGCCCTCTGGTTTCGTATGCTAGCTTTCACCGTTTTTTGCCCCCAAGGGCGGCGCAACGAATTTCTGATAGGAGCTCGCGCACTCGCGATGGCGGTACCATCTACCAGTCGCCGTTGGCGGCTCACGTACTCGTGATGGTAATACCATGCGGCAGTTGACGGTGGTGGCTTACCTACGCTTACCCAACTGCTCGCCTTTGATGGTAAGGGAAGAACATTCGTCACGCTGCATTTGACTTTATCTACTTATCTACTACTATTAAGTACATAATCTACTATTATTAAGTACATTGTTGCCTCGAAGTCGACGTGATGCGGAGCTTTGGGGCACGCGTCGATAACACTCGAAAACACTCTGAAAATGCGTGAAAACGCTTGAAAGCGCTCTGAAAATGTTCGTGAAACACTCGAAAACGTTCGAAAACTGTCGAAAAACGCTCGATAACACTGGTAGGGAAATGTAAAAATCATACGGGAAAAACCTCGGCTTATATCCGCAGTTAGGTAAGCCTCGGGAGGATTTTTCGCAGTATTCGACTCTCACGCATACTCGTCGAGTGTAGCGCCAAACGCACACATACTCAACGTCTCGACCCGTAGCTTTTCGCTTGGCTGGTTGGGACGCGCGAAAATTTCTAGGAGCGATCGCACTCACGCAGATTCGCTGCATGAGAGTTCCGTACGCGACACCGACGCGTGCCCCAAAGCTCCGCATCACGTCGATTTCGTGGCAACAATGTACTTAATAGTAGTAGATATGTAGATAAAGTTAAATGGAGCGTCACGAGTGTTCTTCCCTTGCCATCAAAAGCGAGCAGTTGGGTAAGCGTAGGTAAGCCACCACCGTCAACTGCCGCATGGTATTACCATCACGAGTACGTGAGCCGCCAACGGCGACTGGTAGATGGTACCGCCATCGCGAGTGCGCGAGCTCCTATCAGAAATTCGTTGCGCCGCCCTTGGGGGCAAAAAACGGTGAAAGCTAATGTACGAAACCAGAGGGCAACACAGGATGCGATTGCACGATCCTGCCCGTGAGCAATCTCCCAACTCATCTCTGCTAGCAATATGTACACAGACTTCTTTTCTTATATTGTTTGTAGGCTTAGGTTTACAAATGATGGCGTATTGTTGTGAGGTGATATGATACACGAATCGAAGAAGATAACAATTACAGTTACAATTTAAAGGCCTGATATTTTAGGTAATGCCTTTAATTTCGATTTGGTTATGTCCAAAGATCCGTTTACTATGCGGTAATGCCTTGCTTATCTTAAAAAAAATGTGTAATGAGGATAATATGTGTCCTGTACAAACAATTAATCAACCTCCAAATATATCCTATCAAATTGAATGATTGAAACATGAAAAGTTTCGAAATTGATTAAAAGACTAATTTTATAAACTCTGTGCGAAATGTTAATTTAATACACTTACCTACCATGATTTTACGTTTACTTAACATTGAATTGGAATATTTATCATGTTGACATTGTAAACAATATTAATTTTTCAGTTTGTGATCATGTCAGTGGAGGATGTAAATGCGAGTGCTACAGCCGTCTCTATGGAAGAGACATGCCAGCCAGCGAGCAGTACCTCACATAATACTACTAATACCATAGAATCGAATTCTCCAAGGCCTACTGATCAAGCAAGCAGGCAAAACAATCTCCAACGGATACAGCAGAGGAAACAACAAGTTTTCAATTGGCCACAATTGAAAAAATTATTGAAGCTTGCTAATTATAGTGCTTGTCAAGTAGAAGACTGTAAATGCAACGGATGGAAGAATGTTCAGCCCTTACCAAAATCACCAAAGAATGACATGCAACAACCGGTCACAAATTTTTTTGATCCATGCAGAAGCTGCACGCATACATTAGAAAATCATATTACACATTTACCAACACAAAATGACGAGGAAATAAATAAACTTCTAGGAATGGTTGTTGATGTTGACAATATCTTTATGGGAATGCATAGGGAAGAGGATCCGGATACCAAAAAAGTGTATTATTATCTTTTTAAGTTGTTGAGGAAATGTATTCTCTCGATGACGAAGCCAACCATAGAAGGGCCATTAGGTCAGCCACCTTTCGAAAGGCCCAGTATAGCAAAAGCAATCACAAACTTTGTTTTATACAAGTTTGGACACTTATCTCAACGAGAATGGCAAGCTATGTATGATCTAGCAAAGATGTTTTTGCATTGCTTAAACCATTGGAACTTTGAGACTCCTAGTGTAAGGAGGACTACAGTAAATGCAGAAGAGGCTCCTGCGTACAAAATCAATTATACACGATGGCTCGTTTTCTGTCACGTCCCTGCTTTTTGTGACTCCCTTCCTCATTACGATACCACTCTTGTTTTTGGAAGAACTTTACTACAAGCAGTGTTCAAGTCAGTTTGCAGACAATTAATGGATAAGTGCCATAGTGAAAGAGACAGAATGTCACCAGAAAAACGAGTGCTAGTTTTAACACACTTCCCTAAGTGAGTTCATGTAATAATGTAAACAATAATTAATATGTAAGTTATTTGTAATTTACATATTTGCATATTTTATTTGAAGGTTTCTATCGATGCTGGAGGTAGAAATATATTCAGACAATTCACCAATTTGGGATCCTGAATTTAAACAAGTTCCACCATCGCACCTGCAAGTCGCTCTGGAATCAAAGGCTAACCAAGGGCGAAGAGTAGGTGAATTTGAGAAAGTTACAGTAACTCCTAATGACAAGGACAACTTCACAACGATTAACATCAGTCCTGGTATAAAAAAACTTCACGAAAAACGACCACATCCAGAAGGGAGATCGGATGTAAAAAGGCGTCGAAACGAAGAGGCATTTGAGGATTTACCAGAGGAGACGGTTGCTGAAATTGTAGCAACGATCAATGATCCCAAATATATGTGTGGTCCCGATGAAATGTTCCCACCAAATGCCCCTAGAGATGAGACTGCTAAAGTAGAAGAGGGTAAAAAGATTATAGAATTTCACGTGGTCGGCAACAGTCTTACTCAACCAGTTTCAAAGCAAACGATGCTATGGTTGATAGGACTGCACAATGTATTTTATCATCAACTACCTGCAATGCCAATGGAATACTTATCAAGGTTCATCTTTGATCCGTAAGTAACTTTCATTAATACTTCAAATTTTAATCGGATCTTTTTCCAAGTAATTTGTATCTCTATATACGCTCTTGTTCTAAAGACTATATTAAATCCGTCTTATTTCATTCCGATAGGAAGCACAAAACCTTAGCTCTGATTAAAGATGGTAGATCTATTGGAGGAATTTGTTTCCGAATGTTCCCCACTCAAGGTTTCACAGAAATTGTGTTCTGCGCCGTAACTTGTGAGGAACAAGTTAAAGGATATGGAACGCACCTGATGAATATGCTCAAGGATTACCACATAAAAAATAACATCCTACATTTCTTGACATTCGCCGATGAATACGCTATCGGTTACTTCAAGAAACAAGGTTTCAGCAAAAACATTAAATTGCCACAAGCGGTGTACCAAGGATATATCAAGGACTACGACGCAGCGACGCTAATGCACTGTGAACTTAACGCCAAAATTGTATACACCGAGTTCACCGCAGTCATTCGAAAACAGAAGGAAATTCTGAAAAAGTTAATTCACCAGAAGCAACAGGAAATTCAGAAAGTGCATCCTGGATTGACGTGCTTCAAGGAAGGAGTCAGGGGAATTCCAGTGGAATCGATACCAGGGATAAGAGAGACTGGTTGGAAACCTTATTCGCACGCCAGAACTAGAGGGGTTGCAAAAGGAACCCAAAACTCCGAACCAATGGAAGCTTGTTTAGACATCACGGACTCCCTTTATAACGCCTTAAAAAATATTCTGAACAGCGTAAAAAATCACGTCACTGCTTGGCCATTTTTGAAGCCTGTTGACAAGAACGAAGTGCCAGATTATTACGACCATATTAAATATCCAATGGGTAAGCAAATTATTCCCATTTTTTTATTATTATATCCGTTAAAATGAATGAATCCGTAAGAAAAACTGAAGAGTATTTCTTCATTCTTACAGATCTTAAAACGATGACTGATCGTTTGAAGGCGCGATACTACGTCACCCGAAGATTATTTATTGCAGACATGACACGCATCTTCACAAATTGTCGACTGTACAATGGCCCCGACACGGAGTACTACAAGTGCGCGAATGCGTTAGAAAAGTATTTTCAAACGAGAATGAAAGAGATTGGATTGTGGGACAAATAGATATTTTATCCCCTCTACATTTGTAACATAATTTAACCTTATCGGTCCAATGCCACTGTCTTTCGAGAAATGTGTACGGTTTCGCCCTGTATGTTGTATGTAATTTATGTAGAACGGAAATACAACATAGGCTTAATTTCGCAAGGAAATGACACATTCCATTGTATATATAGAATTAAACATATATAACAATCCAAGTAAACTATTTCATGACGAATCAAGTAACCAATCATATCGCCTATTATTTTACCGAAGTTTGGGTAATTAGGATATACATATTTTAATATTTAGAGAAACGCGGGAAAACTCAAAACAGTCACGTGGCCGTGAAAAGCGGCCCGCTCGTGCAGTGATCTATAGTTCGGTAATTGACCGCGCACATTAAAGAAGGTGAAAAAAATCCTTAACACGGTATGCTGAACTTAAGCATTTCATTTCACAGCCTAATTAATTCCACTAGGCAACAGTTAATTAAAGGATGTAATACGGTAATCAGAGTAATGCTTTACCCGGTGATCAGTCTGTGGAACGGTGCCCACTTAAGGCTATCGTCGAGCTCAAAAAACCACCTTAAATCGAGCATTCGAAGAGCCCTTACTACGCCAACGACCCTCGTATTAATTATTACAAATAATTGAATTAATATTTAATACAAAAAGTACCGCGCGTTTGAACGTAACGAGTATTCCACGCGTGTGTATTGTCCTCGTAGTTTTTCAACTAAAGTAAGACACTAAGCAGTTCTTACAGCTAATTACCAGTTTAATTCAATTGGCATCTACCCGTTATCTCTATTAACCTTCTATGCTTTTTGCCGGATTACTTCCTCGTTGCTTATTGGGCATTGATCACTCAATCGGTAGTCCTTTAAATCAAATTACACCTTCGAACAAAACGTCTTCAATTCACGTGGTCCTGAAAATCGACGCCGTCCCCATGGTCGTTCATGTTCTCAATACCGATTTCCTTCCACGCGGACTCACGAAAAGAATTAAAAGGAGACGATCCTTGAATTCGCGAAGTTTACCTTATCCGGTGGTACCTTCATAACGTTTCAGCCCACTGACCTTCTCGGCACATCTCCTTCTTGGGCCTCGAGTACTGTAAATGTCGAGCGACCGAAGCCAGTTCGCCGTGGCGATTTTGTCACAATGTCTGGTCTCCGTTTCCGTGCTACAACTGCCATACGATACATTTGCAGCCAATCAGAGAGGTCAAGGCCACGATCTTCCTAAGCTGCGTTACAATTGTTAGACATGCCCTGTAAATGAATTCACTTCTTTGGCCATCCAAATTTATAGAGAGCACGTAACGAGAAAAAAGAGTACCGTTTCAGTAGACGTGGTTGCTTTTTTTTAACGGTCAAGCAGATCGATTTCCTTTCCTACCGATGCATACCCAGAAACAGGAATCGCCGTGAACCGAATAGCGCCGCCTTATCCGGAGATCCACCTCGGCGAGGGAGAAAACACTTAATGCACGCTCTGATTGTCGCGAGTCTCGGGTTCGTTCAATGGGCCCAATTTGCTGCACATCGCCTCTTAATTGGCATACACGGGAGCGGTTAACGAGCACGTCTTTCTCCAGATGCCAATACCGATCCCCTGGAGCTTTTCTCGATCCAATGTGCGAGGTGTAAATATCTTCAGTTAACGAGGGCAAGATGACTTCATCGACATCTGCCGGCTCCTGCGTGGAAGAAACGGCCAACAGGGTGGTCCTGGTTAACATAAAATGGCAAATCGTGAGAATGAAATCTAAGGAAAATTCGAGAGGAATTAAACGTACGACCGTGAAATCGGTAAATAATGGGCGCGAAAGGTTCTAGTAATTTAAGGAGAGGAATTGAGCGAGGCGACGTGTAATTTAGAGCTCGCGCACAAGAACCTATGACCATGTACGCTGAGTATGGTCAATCCAAGGGAAGGGGAATCGGTATAAAGCCACAACCACCTTGATACTCGCGCAAAGCCCGAAAGATCAACGTTTCGTGAAGACCACGTACCGTCTGGTTACCCGTTACTGTATATACGTATAGACATATATTACAATCTTCGTATAGTTAAACATTGTACAGTTAAAATAAGCGAACGCATAACTTATCGGGATACCTGCAGTTGATAGCGCGACGCGTACGGCACAAGATATTGGTAACTTTCAGTGTTTCAAAATGTGCGACGACGACGTGGCCGCACTTGTCGTCGACAATGGATCAGGCATGTGCAAAGCAGGATTTGCGGGGGATGACGCCCCGAGGGCGGTCTTCCCTTCCATCGTCGGTAGACCCAGATACCAGGTAATCGTTTACCGAAAAGTAATGAGCAATGCTGCACCCTCTTAATACAATCTCATTGTCGGTGCTTGTTCAAACCTAAAAATTTTAAACAATAATTAGATCGTCGTAATTACACGTAGTATGTTGCTTAAACCCATTACATGCAATTTTGAGGTGAAGAAATATATTATTATTACCTGCTTGCTAAGTATTGGAAAAAGTTTAGGTAACGTGAATTGAGAAACTATGAAATGTACTTTTAATTAAGTTAAGAGCACATTTACTTCTCAAGAGAATATGCTTTCTTTTCGATGGTACAGGCTGGAGTTACTGAAAATAATTAATAAAATATTATTCAGGGCATTATGGTGGGCATGGGACAAAAAGACAGTTACGTGGGTGATGAGGCCCAAAGTAAAAGGGGAGTACTGACCGTCAAGTACCCCATCGAACACGGCATCGTTACCAACTGGGATGATATGGAAAAGATCTGGCATCACACGTTCTACAACGAGCTCCGAATCGCACCGGAGGAGCACCCAGTGCTCCTAACGGAGGCTCCGCTGAATCCAAAAGCTAACAGGGAGAAAATGACTCAGATTATGTTCGAAACATTCAATTCACCTGCTATGTACGTAGCGATTCAGGCGGTCCTCTCATTATACGCGTCTGGACGGACCACCGGAATTGTTTTGGACAGCGGTGATGGTGTATCCCACACAGTTCCCATTTACGAAGGTGAATTTCATTCCATGCGACTCCAGGATACTGGACATACATTTTTCAATTAACGTTTAAAAGTAAATACTTAATAAATAAAATATACAATAGGTATCTCATAAAGTTTTGAAAGTATCAATTATCAAGACAGAATTTGTAAATGGATAGTTAATGGAAAGAGGATAACAGGCTACCATTTATAATGGACAGCTTAGGAGCGAATTTTGCCGCAGTCCATTTCTAAATACGTTTGCATAAAATAAAATTGCATAACTTGAGGTTATGCGAAGATTATCAAATGTTGCTGTCACAGGTTATGCATTGCCGCACGCAATTTTGCGTTTGGATTTGGCTGGCCGCGATCTGACGGATTATTTGATGAAGATCCTTACCGAGAGGGGATACTCCTTCACGACGACTGCCGAACGTGAGATCGTGCGCGACATCAAAGAGAAACTTTGCTACGTTGCTCTGGATTTCCAACAAGAAATGGCCACGGCAGCTGGATCCAGTGCTTTAGAAAAGAGTTATGAATTACCGGACGGTCAGGTAAGATAAGAAATCGCTCAACTATCTTCATATTTCCTCTTCTTTAACGATCCGCAGTTCCGCCTGCACTCGTCTCGAAATAAAACGTTTTATATTCTAAATCGTTGGCGCGCGGATCCCGCCATCTTGATTCTCATTTAAATATTCGACTACGGAAATCAAGTCTAAGACTATTCCATTATTTTAATACGCATTAAAAAAAAAGTCTTGAAAAATCTAACAGGTAGTTAAGCACGAAAAAGCAATCTTAACATCTCCTAGTATTTCTATTTTTTTTCCCCTTCCAGAGATTCGCTGTTCCCCCATTTGTCTAGAGTAGTAACACGTTTTAAATTCCACCATGTCGCGCGCGAAAATACGGCCGCCATATTGGTCACTTTTTAAATGCCGAACCACTGAAATCAAGTACAAAATGAAAACTGTACGTAATGCCACACTATAGAAAATAACGAAACAAGAAAAATCAACACGAAAATTACGAATTCCTTGAGAAAATACTAATCGAAACTAAATATTAATGCTTATATACGGTTTATCAACACTTCCAAGTTTCACGCCAAATCTATTTGAAACGGAGCACGGTCCAGTTCGTCTTAAAATTTCGATTCGGCGCATCCAAGTTCAGAAGATTACTTCAATATTTCACCGTTTTTTAAGGTTTATCTTAGAATTAAAAAAAACCTCATTATTACAGGTCATCACGATCGGAAACGAGCGTTTCCGTTGTCCCGAGGCAATGTTCCAGCCGAGCTTCTTGGGTATGGAATCTTGCGGGATACACGAAACTACCTACAATTCAATAATGAAATGCGATGTCGACATTCGTAAAGACCTCTACGCAAATTCCGTCCTCTCGGGCGGCACCACGATGTACCCAGGAATCGCCGATAGGATGCAAAAGGAGATTACAGCGTTAGCGCCGTCCACCATGAAGATCAAAATAATCGCGCCCCCGGAAAGAAAATATTCCGTATGGATCGGAGGTTCCATCCTGGCGAGTTTAAGTACTTTCCAACAAATGTGGATCTCGAAGCAGGAGTACGACGAGTCGGGCCCGTCCATCGTACATAGGAAATGCTTCTGAATCCAAAAACTACCGTCGATAACTCGATATACATATCGTGCAGCCATCAGGAAACTTATCTAAACACGATTAAATTTCTTCACTATAAAGCTGCCCGCTACAAATTAATTTACAGCGTTCTAATTGTAGTACTACCTACTTAATATATATATTTATATATTTATTTATTTACCAATTGAGTAGTTGCGCCTTTTGAAAGTAACGCTTGCATTGTTCAAAGACCCAGGGTTGTACCGTTCAACTTGTATTCGCTGCGACTTATCAAGGTCGACGTTGAAGTGCGTCCGTCCCTGGATAACGGAATAATTTGATTAATTAATTGATAGTGTTTAGTTTTTAAAAGTTACCGTGGACGGAGAGTGCAATCTCGGTTGCACGTTAAATCTGGCTCGTTGATATATTAATATCCTACATCCGGAGCGGTCGAGAAACTCGAGCGCACCTGTTAAATACGGAATAAACACGAATCCATTCCTTACACGTATCTTATTTATTTCTAGAGTATAGTCAGCATTATATACAGATATATTTAAGGCAGATCGGAAAGTAAAGTGAAAACGTCTTTCCAAATTCTCGGCGTTTACAGTGGGACCGATTGTAGCTCGATATTTCCGACCGTTTCCGACATAAAATCTGACCTAACTCGACGCACTTCTCTGAACAACGTTTCGATAGCTCCGACGAGAAATCTCTTACCGATCGAAAGAAGAACCTGCCCATCTATGATCGCGTTAACATATATGTACAAGATTTCGGCCTGAGGGCGCGTAGCTCGATTTTAACGCAGTATCAAGTTCCAATATTACTTCACTGGACGGTTAGTCAACACTCTTGCCACTCAACGTGCTCGCTAGGTTTAAAATCCGAACGCTGACAGTTTCGGAGGACATTTAATAGTACAAAGGCAAATTCTCCATAATCTGTGTATAAATAGTGTCTCCCCAGTTGGAAAGTTTTGCTCTACAAAATTCAATTCCACGGTGGAGAGGACGATCGGTCAACACGTAACAAAAGCAAGTATCCACATCCGCCACTTAAGGTCACTAAAAATAAAACCATCGCGATAACGAGTCTCACAGGTGCATCAGCGCAAAATCGAGGCGAGAACATTTGTAAGTAAAAGAAGAAAAAAAAAAGAGAGCGACGAAGATACATCTTAGAGATTTAGAATTTAGAACCCTTTCTACACACTTTACAAAGAATTCACCTTCATCCGCACTTGCAGGTGTCGGTTACCTCTTCTCGCTCTACACGCACGGAAGGGACATCGATAGAGTTATCTGGTGTTTTATATCCCGACCGGATATTCCGAATGATGGTTACACTGGGAACTCGGGACGTCGTTACGATTACGTTATACATCTGCGCCCCGTTGTACAGTAACACCCACATACACAATTCGACTTTGTAATTACAATTATACGAGAATAAGTACAGAGACAAGAGGTCTTCGGCTATTCGACTTGTCGCTTCATGGGAGCCCTTCCCTCTTTCTAAATATTTCTTCAAACTTCCTCCGACTTAAAATTCGAATCCTCGTTGAGCTTGATACGAACGCACTAACGATACTCTCTTATCGAGCTGTAGGTTCTATTTAAAAAAAAAAAAAGAAAAAGAAAATGAATCTCAACCTAGGGAGAATATAGTCGACGTAACTGCATATCACTTTAAAATATAAGTGGCTACGAAACGTAAACGCGAGGCATCTAGAAAGACGAAGGGCTATATAGGGGGACTTTGTCTGGATATTAATACGTTCTCACTACACAAAACGATCTTTACAATATGACCTCGCAGTATCTTGCATTGGAAATTCATCTTACGCTATTTATACAAGAGCTCGTGAAAAAAATACATTTGTTCTGTAAACAATAGACCGTTGCTTTCGATGGAATAAAAAAAGAAAAAGTAATCGTCAAGCGAACGACGCGTATTCCCATCGAAGTGATTTTCTCTACAGACATAATAAATAATGTATTCATCGAGTTACAAGTAAAATAATGTTCGAACCGAGAAAAATGAGGATATGCAATAGGAGCATCGCTTACAACCGAAGAAATGCAAAAAAAAAAATCTACAAGTCGATTTTATGCATTGCGCGTCGTAGAAAATAGAAAAAGAAACCATAAAAAGATCTTTGGTGCACTACTTTACAGAGCGAGAGTAACGTGCGCGAGTTTAAAAGGGAATTCGCGATGCGGTGGCTCTTCTGCTGCCGTTCAAAACGTGGCTGGGTAAAAAAGGACACGGCATTATCAAGTATTTAAAAGGTTTATCTTCTGGAGGTTTTTCTTCTTCCTGTGGACCTCTTAGACCGACGGCTCTTCGACCTCGTTGTATGTAACCAAGGTAGGGAAAATTCACTAAAAGTAATAACGGAGCTTTAATCTCAATAAATGTTTCCTCGAGGAGAGGGAACGTAATAATATAAATTTTCTCACCATGGGGTAAAACTAGGAATAGGAGCTCCAAATGCAGTGACAGGCAGCTCTGGATCAACTTGAATGCTTTGTATTTGATCTACATCTGGCCACAAAGACATAATCGTTTCTTCCTCAGCAGCGGAAGGACACGGTCCAGTATGGTTTGTATTGTAGCACGTCGCTTGATGATTCTGACGTTCCTGTCTCTGCTTCAACTTTTCAATATGCCTTTGCTCTCTAAAAGTATAACAAAAGAATCAATTGTATAATCCTAATATTCAACAATATGCTTCAAATTCTAAAAAATATAAATATTTTCTTCAAATACAGAAGCACAGTAATAAATTCACAATCTAACCTTATCCTTTGAACGTCCCATCGTTTACGCCTCCTTTCGTCATTCTCCAGTTTGAGGTGCCTCTTATTGAAGATCTCATCGTCCAGATTTTCTGTGCCCTCCATTGTGTAACAACTCGTGTAAACCTTCACCCTCCAACTTGGCACTTCCAGCGTAGCGTGGGTCTCGGGTGGTGGTGATAACTCTTTAGGAGTCAACATGTAGTTCGACTCGCCCACCGAGGTGTAATAATGTTCTTCGGTGGCAAGGAATGAGTCCCTTTTCATGAGACACTTGCCCTTTTTCTCCAACTTCCTGGTGCCGTCATGAGTCGAGTTTTTGTCCTGTATCGTAGAAGAGGTATCGTTGCTGATGGTCGAAGACGACGAAATGCCTCTTCTTCGCTTATTGTCTCGCAACGGCGTTGGATCGGACGTTCGCTTCCTCTTTCTCTCCCAATCGTGTCCAGGCTCGCTGTCGTCGTGCTTACTCTCGAACTCTTGCTTGACTGTGGTTATACCACCACTAGTGTTCAAACGTATTTTGAAGCTCTCGTTGCAACGAGGACTATTGTTCTCGGACTGTCCACTCTTACGACGTTCACTAGTCGAAGGAGCATTAACGGAATTCACACTGGATGGCGAACAGGGACTTGCATGATCCACCACTGAATTGTCATTAACCTCTGCCCTTAATTTTTGTAGGTTGACGCGCCTGTCCATGCGCTCAAGGCGCAATTTGAGCTGAAATGCAAAATGCCGAAAATCATTTTCAACACCAGAAATACGAGTTGTAGTTTCCCCCTTGCATTTTCGACCCTTTATTCGATTCCGTTCGCCCACCCTTCAACCTGCTTAAAATTAAAACACCATCTAAAATCATGTTGGTATATTCCAAAGATACGATGCACAAGCTCGCCATTGACATTAATTAAAATACTTTTACAAAACGGTCAAAATTTTGGTTAATTTTTTTAATTTCATGACGACGCCACTATCGATTAATTATCTACAGCAATTTTTCCGATTATAAACACAAAATGCTACAGCATTTCCTCCTATCCATGGCATCACCTTGCAACCGATAACAATGCAAGCCCTTCGATTACAACGATCCACCATCAAATCCAACAAAAACGCAAACAAAACCATTGTTTACAAAGTATCTTTATCTCGAAACCTGCTTACAATTTTAGCTTCTTTAATTCACGTCATAAATACACTTAAAACACAGTTCTGGTACTCCTACATAATAACAAGTTTTCATATAATTAAACAAGATACAAATACTATCGCTTCTCAACCACAAATTCAACATATTCTTGCCTAATTCAGCCCTTTAACGCATTAACAACCCTTCCTACTTTTGACTCCAGATCACTGTCAACAAAGAAAACAAATCCCTCACACGAGTACCTCCACCTTCGCCCAACTTTCCGTATCCACCCTCGCGTCTCCCAGCATGTACTTATAGTTCAAGACACCACTTTTTCTCCCGAACACCTCGACACGACCCAACCTCACTCCGCAAAACCGTTTAAATTTTCGCTATCCTTCATTCCCCTCGAAACACTTCCACATTCCTCTCGAAGAGGTCACAGATATATCATTTCCACCAGTGAGCACGCATTTCCGAGGATCGTTGGAAACTTTGGGCAATCGACTCCTTGATTTCGATCACGATGAGGCTTCGCGAAGCCATATATGTACATTACACTCCAAAATCGGCTATCCTCTCCCGTGAATTATCTACGGGTGAGGAGCGACAACGTATCACCGAGCGTATTCCTTTTCGGCACTTCGAACCTCCCTCCGTCGTAGTTCCGCGTGCGCGCCGGCCGGCGCCTTGGCAGATCGCTGCCGTTCCGAGCGAGGGGCGCGCGCGGTCCTTAGGACCGGTGCGCAGTCGAGATGCGCACGATCTGACCTTGACGCGGCACGCGCGCGGGGTGGGGGGTAGGGGGGATAGGGGTTGGCGATGGTCGTCGGCGCCGTCGTACCCGTCGTCGTCGCCTCGATGCCCGCGGGCCATGTGCGCGGCTCGCCCCGAACCTCGTGCTCCCCCGTACTCTTCCGGCGCAATGGCAACGCGCTCTCTCGTAGCCCGGCCGAAGGCGCGCGCGCGCAAAAGAGAGAGAAAGAAACAGAGAGACGCAAAGGTGGGACGGGAACGGAGAGAGACGGAGATAGGTAGCGAAGCGCGACCGAAGAGCGAAAAGAGGGAGCCGCATCGAATTGCACGGCGAGGGGGAGAGAGAGAGAAAGAAAGAGGGGAAAGGTAGAGAGAGCGAAAGAAACAGAGCCTTGGGTGAGCAAGAGAGAGAAAGAGAGAGAAGCGCGGGCATGCGCGCAACGATCGGCAGGAAATCGTACCGTCTCGTTCTCCTGTCGGAGCGCGGCGAGGAGCTTGTCCTTGGTGACGATCTGCTCGGACTGCTGCTGAATGAGGTCTAGGTGCAGGAGGAGGAGCTCCTTGAGGTGCTTGACCTCGGTGAGGTCGTGCCTACGGGCCTCGCTGCCCCTGAGGGGGCTGGCGCCGAGGGCCGCCGGGGCGGCGGCGGCGGCGGCTGCAGCGGCGGCCGCCGAGGCGCCGCCGTCGGTCATGCTCGCGTACATGTGGTCGAACTCGCACGGGAAGCTCGGCAGCCCCGGCTTCGTCTCCTCCGCCTTGACGACGTCCTGGAACTCGCTCGTCGTCGGCGACGACGACAGGTGCTCGCTCATGGCCGCGACCATGTTGCGCGCGGCCGGCGCCGTCCCGGGCGTCCCGGCGCCGCCCGTCGACTCGCGCCTCGCCGCGCCGACCCCGACGCCGGCCCCGAAGCCGACCCCGACCCCGACCCCGAGGTTCGCCTCGATCTCGCTCTCACCATTCACGAGTCGCGACGGCGAGGGGGCGTTTGACATCTTCCCACGGTGGCGCCGTCGCGGCTGCGGTGCCCAGCCGTGGCCGCCCCGAGCCTGCCGATCTCCCGCCGCGAGCTCATCCAAGCGTCTTGCCGACCGCCTCCGACGCCGTCCGCCGCTCGAGCGAGCCCGAGCCGATGTGCGCCTCCGCCGCCGCCGCCACCGCTGCCGCTGCCGTCGCCGGCCGGTCGCCCGCTCCGCACGCTCGACAATTCCCGCGACGTGACGCGCCGCGTCGAGCTGGACGCGCTGGGACGCGCGACAGTCACCGCCAAGTCGCCGCTTCGAGCCGTGGCTCGCAGCCGCCAGCCGAGGGGGCACGAGGTGTTTACTGACGATCGACGGTGATGGGCCGCGCGCGGCGTACCACAGCCTGGCTGCTGCGGCGTTGCGCAAGCTTCCCCGCGACGCCGCCCGGTGGCGCCACCCGAGGCCACGCGCGCGCGGGTCTGCTCACCTCGTGTCGTGCCTCGCCTACGAGGTAAACTCGGTCTCTAAGTCCACGGCAACTCGAGATCGACGTCGCCCTCGGTTCCCTTAAGGTTTCCCCCCCGGAAAGGGAAGGAACCAAACGATGATTCGCTCGAACGACCGATCCGCGATCGCTGCTCTCGAGTAGACGTTCAACGGGACGGACATTATAAACGAGTCACGTGACCATTCCGCTCGAGCGTTGCGCCCTGACGTGCGATTTCTGATCATATCAACGTTTAGGTACTTTGCGGATAATGTTACGTCGACCAGGGAAATACTTGAGACGATGTCATCGCCAAGCATTTGCTGAAATGTAGAAAAACGTTTCGGTCAATGGAAAAATGAAAGGTGAAATGCATGCAGAGATGAGTTGGGAGATTGCTCACGGGTAGGATCGTGCAATCGCATCCTGTGCTGCCCTCTGGTTACGTACATCAGCTTTCACCGTTTTTTGCCCCCAAGGGCGGTGCAACGAATTTCTGGTAGGAGGTCGCGCACTTGCGATGGCGGTACCATCTACCAGTCGCCGTTGGCGGCTCACGTACTCGTGATGGTAATACCATGCGGCAGTTGACGGTGGTGGCTTACCTACGCTTACCCAACTGCTCGCTTTTGATGGTAAGGGAAGAACACTCGTGACGCTCCATTTGACTTTATCTACTTATCTACTACTATTAAGTACATTGTTGCCACGAAATCGACGTGATGCGGAGCTTTGGGGCACGCGTCGGTGTCGGGTACGGAACTCTCATGCAGCGAATCTGTGTGAGTGCGATCGCTCCTAGAAATCTTCGCGCGTCCCAACCAGCCAAGCGCCAAGCTACGGGTCGAGACGTTGAGTATGTGTGCGTTCGGCGCTACACTCGACGAGTATGCGTGAGAGTCGAATACTGCGAAAAACCCTCCCGAGGCTTACCTACCTGCGGATACAAGCCGCGTTATTTCGCGTATGATTTATACATTTTCCTACTAGCGTTATCGAGCGTTTCTAGAGCGTTTTTGAACGTTTTCGAGCGTATCTCGATCATTTTCAGAGCGTCTTCGAGCGTTTTCAAGCATTTCCAGAGGGCAGCACAGGATGCTATCGCACGATACTGCCCGTGAGCAATCTCTCAACTCATCTCTGATGCATGTGCGTCGCGGCGAAACAGTTTTACAATGCCTTAATGCCATCTTGCGTACTCATGTCGAATCTCTGAAATCGTTCTATAATGAAATTGGTTCCCGATCGGTTATAAAGCATAACGCGAGATGGCGCTAACGCCACGAATTCGAATCGAGGTTTTATTTCGGAATGTCTGAAGTTTGGAAAAATAGAAAATTGTTGGGTGTCAAATGGGGAATACGATTGATTTGGTTTATTTCGGCTATTGACAAGTAATGAAGCCCGGTTTACAATTCACTTTTTAACTCGCTTTCGTTCCTCTACTTTTTTAAAATTACCGCCCAACCAAAATATCTTATGTATAAGCATTCTTCTTGTTTGTTCTCTTTACATGTAAGAAAAATATATTGTTTTCTCATATATTTCATTTCTCCTTGAGTGTTTGGTTGCAGTTCTGTGTTTCTCTCCGAAAAGAGGAAAATCTATTTATTCAAAGCTAATATTCAAACACGTTACTGTGAAAACATTCGATAGAATTTGGAGAAGTTTAATTAACCTGCTGTCGAATTTAGAATTTCAGATTATCATAAATTGACGTTAAAAGTTTCTAATTCAACTTCTGGATGTTAACCGATGACGTACATCATCAATTATAAATAAATATTTCACGTGATAAATAGGATAAGAACATCAGATTGCTAATTGTACAACAGTATATTTGCATCAAAAATGACGTAAATCATAAGCTTTTACAGATATGTACAATGTACAATGACGAATGACAATGCGTTGCATGCAAATGCTGAACCATATTAAACAATGTAAACATTATAATGACTGGGGTAATGATGTTCCTTGATAAACATGATACATTAAGAAATTACGGTATTACTGGAATAAACCATGATTGCTCTATGTATGATCCATCTGAATATGCAGTTCGACGCTACACGAAAACTAGTCTTGTATATAAAAGAATGCGCTAGTCACTAAATGCTAAAACTGCATTGCAAAAACTTATACAATAACGATTGGTAAATCGATATACAAAGGGGCTTCGCATAATCAGCGAAGTTTTTGTTAAAGGGCCACTTCCACTGAAAAAGTATCGATAATGAGTTTTTTTTTTTACTGCGTTTTACTGTGCCCCGTGAAATATCCACGGTTTTTTACAGTCTTTGTAAAATCTGCAACAAACTATTTTGGGCTAAACGGTATTCGACTAGTACAACTATACAGGATTTCCCGTCTTCTGCGGACGATTTGTTTTTCACGATTAAAAATATCTAACGCATCGCCATTTTCAGTAAAATCGTGTTTGGTTCTAGATCAATATACCGATATCGATTCAATAAAGAAAAAGTGGAAAAAATACATGTTCACCGAGTACGACCGAAATTACTACACTTGAGTATTATTTTGGCACGACGGAACCACTCGAAATAGCGAGGAGTAATGTCGGGCAACAATCATTCGAAAAATAAATATATCTCTCGTTACCTGAGATACACTCAGTAGTGGGTGGAGCAATCCGGCGTTCTCGCAAAAACAATTTCCTTATCTTTACGAAACCCGATTAACATCGGTCTCCATCTCTCGCGCGGTATTGATCTACGTATTCACCTAGATGTACTGTTCTCTAAACTATACAGCGTTAATCTACATCCATATGTACAATTATTATGACACAAATACCTCCACAATGTAATGTGCAAGACATCCAGAACATGAGATATTCTAATAAATAATGACATTGGGACTGTTGTCACGTAACATCATAACAGAGTGATCGTTTAGAAACTAAGTTCCTTCCATATATTGCTGGGTAATTGGAATCATTATTTCTCTCAAATATCATTTACGTAAAAAAAAAAAAGAAATAAAATAAAATAAAGATAGTTCAGATACACGGGATAAATTGTCACCAAGGACATTCATTTAACCGTACTACTTAAACTGATATAAAAGCAAATTTTTTCAGGGCTGTTAAAATGGTCTACAAAAAAAAGCAGAACATGATATGACACTATGTGCCCTGGAAACGTACATAAATGATAAAAGGTATTTCATATCGTACGAGGTGTAAAACAAACGTTTTCACGTTGACTAGAGCCTTGGACCGTACGAAGTGGTACCCGAAGTGTACCGAAGTATACGCGAGGAAAATCAAGTCCAAAAAAGACTCGATCAAAGACATTCGATCGTTCCATTTGCGCGGATTAGTAATATGAGGTACGCGCTCTCTGCAATAGTGCATTGCACTGCAGTGCCGGAAAATAAATAGGAACTAAGCTTCACTCTTCGCTCAAAGACTCAACCCCACTCGAAAAGTTGCGCAGTTTCGCACGTCGCCCCTCCTTTTAAGCAACAAGTCGCTTCCAGACCAGCGAAAATGAGAGGCGAAGATAACACGTGCCAAACTGCGGATACCTCGAGAAGCACGCGCACATTAACGCTAAAAATCCATCATCGGAAATTCCTGTTTAAGGACTCGTTCGCCGGCATCCGCCTCACTGGTAAGATATTTGCCTAAACATGCTGCTAATCTCCTCGATCGTCTTGTTCTTCGTCTCCGGGACCTTCTTGTAGATGAAGATGACGAAGAACCCTTGAAGAATGGCGAAGATAATGAAGACGTAAGCCCCAAGGACCTCCTGCAAGGGCAGGAATCCTATGCTGACGATGAAGTTGGCGGTCCAGTTGACGGCAATGGCCACTGAGGTGGCAGCTGGTCGAGCCGATTGGTTGAATAATTCGGAGACCAAGAACCAGGGAATGCTTCCGGGTCCGGTTGCAAAGAGCACGACGAACATGATGACGAGGACAATCGAGAAGTACGCTGCCACGCGAGAAACATCCTGGAAGGACGAATGAATGGTGAGTTATCTCTTGATATTTAATATCTCGGATCAAATGGGGAAAAAAAAAGGATATATAAATTGTATAAAACTTACAGCGAAAGTGAGGCATATTGCCAGCAAAATGGTGTCTATAAACATTCCGCTGAATCCAACCAGCAGGAGAGTCTTCCTGCCAGCCTTCTCAACCAGAATCAAAGATACAATGGTCATGAATACGTTCATCGCCCCAACTCCCATCGTGGCCGACTGTGCAGCGTTCTTGTCCAGCTGGGCCATCGTGAAGATCTTCGTGGAGAAGAACATCACTGCGTTGATTCCAGACAGCTGCTGGGCAAACATGATCATAACCGCGATGATGAGAGGAATGCGGAGGGCAGGATTCACGAAGAGTTCCTTCAGAGTGACGCGAGGTACGAGCTTTACGGATTCGTATTCCGTACGCATTTCGTCCATCTCGTCGTGGACCTCGATGGTACCTCGCAACCAGGATAAAGCTGTGACAGAGATAATACGATTAAATATTTCATCGATATAATTGATAGTTTACTCCGTTCAGAAAATGATACTCAGACTTTACCTCTTTGTGCCTCTATGTCCTTTCCTTTGCTCAGTAAAAGATACTTCGGGCTTTCAGGACAGAGCGGCAGAGTGCAGACTTGGAATATCGCCGGAACAATTGTCAAGCAAAGTAAAAGTGGCCACTGCTCGTTGGTCCCGAGGATCTGTTCCAGCCCGAGGATTTGCGCAACCAATATGGAAATGGTGATAACCAGCTGGTAAACCGTTCCAACTGCTCCTCTGAGGTGGATCGGTGATACTTCGGCCAGATACATGGGTGCCAGCCCCGCGTTCAGACCCGAATTGATACCAATTAGAAATCTGCCTACAATAATCAATTCGTAGCTCCTCGCTGCCTTCGCAGACCCCTCGAAGAGCACAGTAAGCACCACGAGGATGTTGTTCAGCAGTAGACCTCCTTTTCTGCCAAATCGATCCGCAACGTAACCAACCAAAGAGCCACCAATCATTCCACCGACGCAGAATATCGAAACTGCAATGGACCAGATCATCGTCACTTCTGATTGACTCGTTGGAACTCCTGTTCGGTTCATCTTAACCTCGCTAATCCAATCTTCGATGAGCTGCAACGCAAAAATAAATTTGATTATTGAGATGAAATTAAAAGAAGGAAAAGGTTTGGAAATGTTAGAAAAATATCTCACCTCCTGCGGAGCATTGACCACTCCGGTGTTGTACCCATGTTGAAACGAAGATCCAAGAGCTGCAGCTGCTATGGCGAAAATCAACCGGCCATTCAGCCCCTGAAATAAAAATTCCCATTTATGTGAAAATGTATTCGGGGAAGCATGCAATGTCAAACATAGGTGAGATAGGTCGCGGTAACATAACTTACAGATCTATTTGCATGTGCTTTAAAATTATACCCATTATTCAATTGGTGTCATTGCATATAGAAACATGAGATGTGTTCGATGAAAACAGACTTAAGAGGAACAATTGGATCAGTTGATGCTAATTGACTTGGCTATATATAGATCCGATGATATTAATATCGAGAGGGAACGCAACTTTTTTAATACAAAAGTGTACATTGAATTAGAAGGTAACTCTTTGTCAGAACATATATTTAGCAACAAACTTAATAATTGTTAATTCATATTCAGTTTTTACCCAAACTAAATAGTTTCATTTAAATATTTAAAATGTAAGAATTAAGAATATTATTAATGAGACTGCTGCACTAAATTAGCAGACATAATTTCTACAATGTTAAAAGTTCTCAAGGGTGTAATCAGATTTAGTTCAAGTTATCGTCTCGCAGAATTCATTAATCTTTTAGGGTCAGTTATGTCACCACTTAAGTGGATTAAATATGCAAATGTGAATTTATAACAACTGTAATGGCATGATTCTTGAAGCATCACTTCAAAAACTGTTTCTTGCCGAGGCATTAAAAGAAACAAAATTAAATTACTCATATCCGCCTACAAAATTGTCTAGACGATTAATAGTTATTAGGTGAACATTCTTTTTATTTTTCAATACATGATCATTTCTTGAAATTTATTCATATATCTCTATGTAATTTCTCCTGCAAAGTTGCTCCAAATTTTTATATTCTATTTGATAATATAACAAAGTTCATGCTTTGAATAGCTAAATAAATTACTAATTAATCAATTTCCACTTATGAATTAAACCCAAGTCATATTTATCACTTCCAAGGAATTTCCGTTTTGGAGCGCTCTGTTTACTACTATACTATTGTACACTGTACAGTTTCACGAATATTCACGCCATCTCAATGTTAAAGCATTTTGTCAAAACGTCTCTGATCTTTCTTTTCAGTATACTACATGTGTAAGGTTCGTACAAAGCACAGTAAGATTCAAACTCGAATACTACCAAATATGAATCTTGAAGAAACAAATTCGCTCGCGTCATTCTTTCAGAAGTTTAAATACTTCTGCCATTAAATCGACGCTAAATTCCCGGTAAACTTTACATTTACCAACAATAGTCAATTTCGAGTACTTCGAGTCAAGAATCTCGGAGACAAATACGTGACATTTTTTGCCTCTAAGTTATTTTTCATAGTCACAAACAGTATCAATCACCACTGGCGTCTCTATCTCTATTTCTAACTATTCCACGCAATCACTAACGAATTTACGAGTTTCCAGAAAAATAAAACACCAATACTTTAACAAACCCTAAAAAAAACCACTTAAGTGTGATTTTTATCGTTTTAAAGCGCGATCAAAAATCGTAATCCCGTGAACACGCGAAAGAGTAACAGCAAATATTTGGCAAGAACTTGCTTCCGAATTTCTTTTTGTTTTCTTACCTTCCTCTTAATGTACGGCATGGCGAGCGCGATACGAGTTATATTTCGCGGAACGAGTGAATTTCGGGAGTAACGGATCTCAGTACAAATGAAAAAGCTCGCGCGATCACGTTACGCCGGCCGGCGGGAGCTTTCACCTCCAGCAAGCTCGAGCACGTGTCTAAGACTGGCGGGTCGCTATACCGCGGAAGCTCTTATACGACACACCAACGCCGCGCCTGTATCTGTGTGTGTGCATGCAGAGGCGTACGCACGTGTGTTTAGGTGTGCATCACACGTGTATATTTTCGCATATGGTGCAAAGGCGTAGCAAGGGGATATTCATGAACCCGCAGAAAAATGAATAAATGTAATTTTTGTTGTTTCAACGGTAAAATGTGGTTACTATATGAACAACCAGACGGTTGACGTGACGAAATTCTTCGATTAATAATGTTGATTGTTTACACATACTAAAACATTTTGGTACAGTGGTGGACATGAATGCTTTTCGTTCTTATAGTGGCCTCATCATATCCGCAGAGAAGGTACGTTCTATGAATATTTTCATTAAAGTGAAATCACTTGGCATCCACATTTTAATATTTTAGATAAGAAAAAAGGTACATTGATAGACGTGTATAACTTATCTTAGTACGAGTTCGAGATAAGGAGGTGACTGTTATCTCGTCATTATACCACAGTGCGCGTGATTACGATAATAGGTTAAATGTTTTATGTTAAATAGGTATACAAATTTATTTTTGGAATAACGTTTAGCGTGACAATGGCGTGAGATATCTGGCTGTTCACATTTAAAGTTTATTTATGGATTCATCTATAGTCTATGAATTTTATTAGACGGCAGGAAGTCAAGAGTCATGTAGGCCTATGAGAGTTCTTTGGAGTCCCTTTGAGATACGTGAGACTCGTCACGTACCCCTCACGTCACTATGAACTGTCTAAAAAAGAAAAAAGGAAAGCAAACGAGCAAAAATATCACGGCAACGTTCAGCGAAGAATTCCAATCGTACCGGGAATAAATAGCCAATGAACTTGCAAGGTAAGACAGGAACGAAAGGCTATTTGCATAACGAATGCACATTTAACCAAGCGATTCGAAAATTACAATATACTGTTCGGAATAAAATAAACCGTTTCAAGGTTCGCCCGACATGCAGATTTGCAATGATATTTTCCCCGATAACGCCGCCAAACAATATTTTTCCCGGTCACATCTCATGTTAATCCGACGTAGTAATTTAATTTTCACCACAGATGTAACCCTGAAAAAACGACAGATATGGGTCAAAAATACAAAATGAATAAGCGTTAATATTCATAATTGATTTGCACGGCCAAATGCGCCTCCGTCGTTTAAATGGAATTATAAACTCATCAAGGTGATATGGAAGAGGCATCAAAGAGGTCTCGTTTGTACAACTTTTCTCCGAACTGTGAATATTAAGACTATAAAAAAGGTCCTGACACACGTGAAATTAAAATTTTTTAAACATTTCTTTACAGGCATATTTACAATTTTTTTTATGTAATTTTGTGGGCGCCAGGGCCTTCCTTGTCGTGTCCATATTCACGTGGTAAATTTTGAAATGATTCGGTACATCCAGTCCGTAGAAAAGTTGTATGAACTATTTACTTCGGATGCCGCTTTCATATCGCCTTAAGTCTTGCGTCATCTTACGTGACTTCTCTTTCGTGATACAAAGTTGCGTGCATCATACCGTTCGCGTAATATCGCACAATGTGTACTTTTCCATCTTACCGCGTCACGTATCCAAATGTACATACTCAATGGAATGTAAATTTCGAAATCGCGAAAGTAAATTGATAACCGTACGGCAGGTCTTGGACTAATGTCGGGCGCCGGTATCGACGATAAAGAAGCACGCCTTGCCAATGCTATCATTCGTTCTACCAATCGAGTAAGACCTGTACAAAAGGCATGTACCCAGACTGCGGTCGCCGATGTACTTGCTAATAGCCTCTCGATTTTCGTTCGATAACGGAACGTTCTTTAAAAGCCATTGCACCCACACTTTTCCGTGTGGTCTACACCCTGAGTAGCCAATCATGGCGGATATTATCCACTGGGATTTACAATGTCGTCATTTAGATACGCGGCCGCATTCCGTGAAACGTGGGGCGGACTTGAAACACTACTTTCCGAGTTCTATTGAACTTTGGATATTTTCACATTGCGAAACCGTAAGGGTAATTAGGCGGATAAACATTCTCGAAGTTCTTTTGAATTTTGTTATTCAGTAACGGCCTCAAAGGGCCACGTGACCGGTTACGAAATTCCCAATCTACTTAAATGGCATAACCGTTACGCGCGGTAGGGTCACGTGACCACGCCGCGCGCTCTGATTGGTCGAGCCTCCAGGCGAGCCCCCAATAGGCGTCTTCCCGGCGCGATGGAAAAGAGCCACGGTCGGTAAACAATTTCGAATATGATTGAATATTTGATGAATTAAATATTTTCAGATTGCCGTAGCGTACAACGGATGGCCCTAAAAATCTGAAAAAAATGACAGGCTCTACAAAACGGAACGTACTCTCATTATGCCAAACATGGGCCCATGATAAGTTCTCTTATTTGAGAAATAAGTATTTATCGAATTGAAGTGCCGAAATGTGGCGTTAAGTATTCGGTGCCGTTCGCACATGCCTTTAAATGTACTTGGCATGAAACTCTATGGACCTTTTTCGTTTTTTACTTTTTCAGTCAGTCAGATGTTTTCCGTCTGCATTTCCTAAATGTTGCCTCAATGACTTTCTTTTTAAACACATTTCCCAACATTTGTTACAAAGTCTACCGAGGTCCAAACTGATAGATACCAACTTCTTCGAACTTCGCCCCGCTCGGGTCAGAAAAGAATGATACACCACATAACCCGATCTACGAGTGCATATCGAACGAACGCATTAAGGGGAGACGTACTAACGGATGGGACATGTTTTCCGATAGGTCGAGACCCAAACGAGCCCACTACAAGCTTGCGATAAACGCTCTCGCATTCACCGCTTATCAGAGCTTATTTTTCTCTTCGACCATTACTTTAATTATATCCATCAATAGTACTATTTCATTAATGCTCGTTATACATGTTTAAAGAGATACTGCCTATTATTATACATATTCTGACCACAAGTATCTACCGACCTCTTTAATCGATACGAACACCTGTAAATATCGATCCGTTCCAATCTGAAGGGTGTGCCACATAATCCGTTCTCACGTAACAAATGCGGAACGGGGCACATTCAGAATGTTCGCTGTGATTGGTCGAACCCTCCATTGCTCTACAATCGAGACTTTCGTAACATTCACAATGCCCTTATATCAAGGTTCATTTAATTTTCCAAGTATTATTTTAATTGCCCTCTCGTGAATACTACAGTTCTATGAAGACTCGTATATTATGCTATCTTTCGATGCGCTTAGTGCAAATC